AGAAAAAATATTATCCTTGTTATTAAATGAAACCTTTTAGGTCCATGTGATTTTGAAATAAAAAAAAAAAAAAATTTAAAACAAGAAATCCATTTTGATACTGTCAGTATATAAATTAGCTAAAACACTTCATTAGGCAGGCTAAATTCTTTAAATAACTAATTGAACTAATGGGAAAATATAGGTGAATTTTAATGTTTTTGTTTCAATCATATCGCCAGAATCTATCTTACACATTTATAAGTCTACCATTCATTCATGCACTGAATATTGCTGCCACATCTGGTCTGGTGCTTCTGCTATGTAGTGAGATCCTTGATAAAATACAAAGAATTTGCAATTTTATTGATCCTGATCTGGCACCTCAGTTTCAGTCACTTACTCAATATAGCTTCCGTGTGCCTCTTCTATTGGTAATTTTTCTGATGACATTTCCTCTATGGTACCTCGACTATGAATTTAAGCACAGTACAGGATCGATAGCAAGTTTCATCATTTTACAATTGAAATAGTTGGATGTAAGTTTTATGCTGATATTTTCTTCTCTCCCACTTGTGGAATTCTCTTCTGAGTTGTAGCTCCTACAATGACTTTTGGTTTAGAAAAAAATTCTAATTGTTTATTATCTTTATATTGAAAATAAAAGTTTCTATATTAAAGAAATTAAAGTGTAGCAATTGAAGACACTTAAATTTTTGTTAGATTTTATATTTCAGATGGGAATCCTTTTCATTTTCTAGCAGCTTAAGCTGTTAAATAATTTTCCATTTCATACTTAATATAAAAAGTGCTTTTGTATATATATATATATATATATATATATATATATTTTATAAAGAAGTAATGGATTTTTTTTATTAATCCAACAGATTTTATCACTTTAAACGTTATTTTTTTAATGGATGCTCCATTTATTTATTAAACAGTATATTTATTTATTTTTGTCTATTGGCTATGATGAAGAATTTCGCTTAAAGGCACTATTCAGCCTTGCCTGATTGGCTGAGTTAACCAAGAGGGTACAGGTTTGAATCCTGCCAGAGAGGGCAGATTTTTTATTTAAGATGTCTCAAATATTCAGGCTGGTAGGTGAAAATAAATACATATACCATTTAATAAATAAACAGAGCATCTACTCAAATACAAATATCCACTAAAAATGTTTAGAGTGATATATTTATAATAAAAAATGTTTAAAGTGATAATAAATATATATATAAATAAATAATTAATACAAGTAAAAGGTTTGTCATTTAGCTGATTGATGTTACCTTCAGCATCCCAACTCTAGAGTTTCATAGATGGACCCTCCAGGAATCACTCCGTCAGAAATATCAGCAATTGACTATTTATACTTCTCAGTTTTTCTTCTTTATATTCACTTTTCATGGGTACAAGTTTTTTTTTTTTTTTAATTTTTTTTTAATAAAAATATGGAGTAATGGATAATGACTGGGATTGAGTAATCAGAGTCAAGTTTATAACATTCACTTGCAATCAAGTACCTTTGAGAGTGGTATGAATCTATCTCTCAAAGCTATGGGTAAATAGGACAGAGTAGGTCCTATACTTTTGGGTGGCAACTGGTCTAGAAGGACAACACTGAATTCGTAACCTGTGGAGAGTCATTTAAGGACCTTGTGGCATACTATGTGCACCAATTCTCTGTATTTGATTTCCAAAACGTGTGGTTGGTTCTGCACAAGCCTTCACAACTATAATCAAAACATATGTGCAATTAGTTTGGCTGTTTGGTTCATAGAACTGAGTTGCTGTACCTTCATGCACCAAGAGAGTCTAGTATTTATGTATAAATAAAATTTCTATAGACATTTTTTGCTTATGTCATCCTTCCTTAAAAATGATAGATATCAAAACAAAATTGGTAAGTTCAAAAATCAAGGAAAATTCAAATTTTACATATAAATAAAAAATGAATTATACTGTCACTTTGTCATGTCATAAAAAATAAAAATTGTCAAAAAAAATAATTAATTCACTCTTTTTGTAACCAATGAGAATTTACACACACAAATATGTGACATCCTATCGAACAAGCAGTCAACATAGGCCATCAACACGTGTCAATGAAAATTTCAGCTCCTTTTTCTTTTTCAGGCCATAACAGTAACATTTATCTTTTGGCATTCAACAAAAATTTGAGGTAAGAAAACCCCCAGACACTTCTTGCATTTTTCGAACTAAATTATCCGGATGCTCATTACACATCTATAAAAAAAAAATTACAAAAGACTTATTTATTATTCTGTCAGACTCTAATCCATATTGCATCTACATTTGACCCCAAACTCACAATTTTACTCCATATTACTGTCTGTGTCTCCAACATCATATAATCAGATAATAAATAATACTCGTTTTGTTGTTTCCATATCTTGCTTTTTCTCATTTTTACAAGTATCTTTTGTATATATAAATATTAGGGGGTTTATAATTATTTACTCAGAGTTATGACTTCCCTACACTAAAATTATTTTGAACATTTAAATTTTTATTCACATTTTATGCTGGTTTAATAACACACCTTTAGTGGGCCATAAATAGACAACATTCTTATTCCTCTTTCAGAGTTATAAAGAGCATTAGCAAAACTGACAAAAAAAATGAAAAGATAGGCTATGCTCATGACACTATTGGCCAATTACTTCAAATCAGATTGTTGAAAGTGTCCAGGTAAAGTGGAGGAATGACAAATGGCTTTGTGCAGATTATATTGTGGTGCACACTAAAGTTCATGTCAGTTGTGATGGCCCCCAGGAGTTTAACAACAACAAGAGCAATGTCATACTACTGCCTACAATATGCTAGACAGGCTTATCTAGCCTTGATCCTGGAGTGCTAGCTAATAACTTTTACAATAATGTCACCCTCAACAGGTAGCTGTCTTGTTTTGATGCCTCTGGACCACTATGGGTTTCACTGAGAGAGCACCCAACCAGCTGTCCCACGAAGCTAAAGACAACCAACATTGGGAACCACTTGATCCAAATGTTCTCTCTTCTAAGGCTGTATCTAGAGTCCTTGAGGTTGATAGCAGTTTTATTGAATAGCTTTTTTTCTGTGTTGGATGTGCAAGTGGTGTAATGGATAGCAGTTCAGAATGGGAATTTCATTACAATTACTTAAGCACAAATATCCTTGGCAAAAGTATAAATCTATTTCCTTCAGGTATGGTTTAAATAATAGAACTGAATGACAAACAGTCCAGGAGGATAATTCAGAGTTTAAAAAAAATCATACATAGTCCTAGCAAAGCACATACTATGCAGCTAATGAAGGGATTGTGGACTTCACAATAGCTATGTTCCTGATTAAATTGGACTTCTGTTGTTTTTCATGTTGAACATTGAAATCTACTGTTATGAATGAAACTTCTCTGAGTTTTGGTCATTTGTTGTGTTTGGATGACAAGTTGAGGTCTTTCATCTGGATTTTCATGTTCATTGGTTGTTGCCAAAATTAAATGAGTTGAGTGCCAAAGTCAGTTGTTGGTAAAATTGGTTTTAGTGCAGCCTGTTTACTACCCTTTGCTGTCCTGACATATAAACTATATCAAAAAACCCAGCAACTCCTGACTGAAGTTATCTTTGAAGTGTTTCTAACTTCTTGCTGGTAAGCCTTTTATGTTTTTGTCTTTTTTTAGCCACTGACCAAATCACTAAAATTAAAGTAAAACCTTTTTTTTTTTTTTTTTTTTTTTTACTATAAAACCTAGTTGGTCTTGTGTTTCCTTTACTTCCCTTTATCTTATTTCTTTTGTCACATATGACAGTACAATTTTTTTTTTTCCTCTCCCCCATTGAAGTCTTTTCTTTATAATTTCTCATTCATTTGGTATACTCTAACAAATCAATATTAAAAAAAAAAAAAAAATGCCTCAAAATTCATATTTAATGCAAACTTGCCGGAGAAACAAGTTTTCAACTTATTAAAGGACTTTTACTTTTTTAATTTGTTTCAATTATACCAACTGTGTGTTATCTGAAATATGATGATAATGTGCAATACACCATAAAATTAACATTTTTAAATAAGTCAAATTATCCTGTTACCAAGTATCATGTTTGTTTCCTTGGCATTTCTCAGGGACATGAAGATATTTAGTACTGCTCAAATCCCTCAAGTAACAATTTGTATTAAATTATCATTTCTTTGGACATACTTGTATGATGATAATTTTTCTCACCATGACATTGATATTGGATAGTGACATAATTGCATCAAGTATGGACAACAAAAGATAATTTCAACGCTTATTTGATTATACTTTCATACTGGATTTTTGCAAATTTGTAAAATTTTGCATATTCATTTGAAAAGATGTGTACACATATAATGAAAGAAATGCTTCCTATTTTATTATGTTGATGGATTGGCAATAAAGGTGAAATTTTCCTGCCAATAAACCTTTTTACAGATAGCAGCTGAGTCTGGCAAAATGAAAGTGTGTATAATATAGGTGTGTCAGTGAATCCCATCATGTGACAAAAATTAGACCCATTGATGCTTACTGAATGCTTAGAGATTAAAATAGTGGATATGATCATAGCCAAGTAGTGAGTAATGTGTTTTAGTTGTGGTGGCAGTGATGTACATGTCAAGCCACCTTCTGGCCAATGAATGATGACACATAACATTTTTTTGATGTTGTCACTGCTGCGGAAAAACAATGTTTTGTAGCTGGAAACTTGTGCTCTATTCAGTGATGTTATTGTGCTCCCTGTATTTGTTGGAGTTTATGCAGAAGTAAATAGGTTTTACTGTTTCAGTATTACACACACACACACACACACACATAATGAATTAATAAATTCAAAATGTATTAAAAATAACTGAAAATGAGAATTTATTAAAAATATATTAAATTATTCAAAAAGGTGTATTTTCATTGTTTTCTTCTTTAAATGGAAATTTAAAATGAACTTTCTTCTTTTGATTGATGTTAAAAGCTGTCTTTGGCCAATTGTAAACATTAATCCTCATATATTTCCTGTATATTTATGATTCTGGACATATTTGTTGTAGACTGAACGGAAAACATGCTTCAAACCATCAGGAAGTTCTGTCATGAGATTCTGGATGGCATGCTGGTTGCAAATGCCCAATAGAATGTTTAATCCATTGTCCAGAAAATTCTATAATTAAAAGCAAAAATACATATTGTAAAATTTAATGCAGTATGATAGCTGTCAACTCATTAATAAAGTATTACTATTTCTAACACATTAACAGAAGTTAAGACATTGCATTGATAATTTGCACTAATTTGACACTAAATCATATGCATGCATAATGAAAATACATTTGATTAATATATGTAAAAGAAATTTAAACTTTATGCTACAAAATTAAAAATGAAGATAAATTTGTTACTTAAAAAAAAAAAAGAATAAAATAGATAAAATTTAGTAAAATATGTACAAGTGACCTATAAATTGTGATCTTCAATGCCATAGATTGTAAAGTTCAACAGAGATAAAGCCTATGTGAATATAAAAGTGGACACTACGTCAACACCAAGTGGTGACAATCTGTTTTACACTTGAACACACTCGTCAGGTCTTGAAAATTGTGTCCAAGCATGAAAACCAACTGTTGCTGCTGGGTATTGATCCCAGTGTCCACTTATTTATATAAATATATATATATAACTTTAAAAATCAGGAGGTCAGTTGAATCCGCTACCTTGGTTTCAACCTTATGGTATCCTCAGGCAATTTTTTATCAAATGACCACCTAATGCTTTATTAAGAAAAAAACAGAATGTTACATTAATATTTTCAAAAAATAAATGAATAAACAAATGCACAAATCTCATGATGTTGGGTGTAATAGAAAAGGAGGATGTGGAGAAGGAAGGAAAAGAAGAAGCAGGAAGAGAAGAAAAGTAAGCGTATCATAAATGTATTAAAGGCAGAAGAAAAAGGGGAAGAGAAGAAAAGCAAGCGTATTATAAATGTATCAGTGAGGGTTTAAATCCATTTTTTTTTTTATCCAGCCTCATATGCACTTAAGAAAAATTTTATGATATGTGGGCAAGGACTTGAAATTTTGGATTTCTAGTTTAAAAGGTCTTTTTTTTCTTCTTCCTTTAATACATTTATGATACACTTGCTTTTCTTCTTTTTCCACATCCTCCTCCTCCCTTTCTATTACACCCAATGTCATGAGTTTGATCGTTGTGCGTTTGTTTGTAGTTTTATTTATTTTTTGAAAATATTAATGTAGTATTTTTTTTGTTTTTTTAAATAAAAAAAGCAATAGGTGGTCATTTGATAAAAAATTGCCTGAGGATATCACAAGGTAGCACATTCAACTGACCTGATTTTTAAAGTTAAAAGCTCTACGTGTTATTTTTACTTTTATTTTATTTTTTCACATTTGTATTGAGCACTTTTTAATGCTACTGTTTCCTCTGGATCTGACTCTGACCATTAACCGTATATATATATATATATATATATTGATAGCAACTATTTTTGTAAACATGCCTTTAATCAAGCAATTTTTATTTTAAACTTGACCAAATTTTAGAATTTAATTTGTATGTTGTGCACTGAAAATTAGGAAAAAAAGTATTTTCAGTGGTTAAGAATTAAAGCAATCATTACAAATAGAATAAACCTATTACATATGCAATACAAATGCACTGTTAATGGTTTTATTGCAGAAATTCAATGATGATCAGAAAGAAAAGGTTTGTTAGTTATTAGAAATTAAAGAAAGCTTTACTCATAGACTAGGGATATGCTATAATGCTACTAAAAATAAGAGGATAATTTACATAGGTGTTCAAACAAGTGGCATGGCTAGTTTATATTCTGAGAAACTAAAAATACAATAAAATTAGATAAAATATACATTGAAGTGTAATTGAGAACTAAAGTCAGTACCATAAACTCAATGGAAACAAAATAAATATCTAAGCTTTTTTAGCTGCACAAACTGGTAAGAATTTTATCACAATAAAAGAAAAAAAAGTTGATGGGGGGTAATTTGTAATGTGTTAGTCAAGAGTTAACCTCACCTTGATAGAGGGCCATAATGTTGTTTGCTGGGTGGCAGCCAGATAATCTGCAATGAGATGGCTGACTAGCTTACTCAATTCTATCTTGTAATTTGACAGCAGTAAAATCAGCCTGAAATATGAATAATATACAAATCTGTTAGCAAACACTTCACAATTCTCGTCATTCAGTGTTTATATTCTTTTTCACAGTTTATATGGAAAACAAAACAGTTCTGTCTATAAAAGTGTCATTAACATACACAATACAATTTGAATAAGTTTGAACTTCATATACTTGGTATTGTTAACATAATGTTTCAGCTGATCGATTTTTCAGCTCTTGTTAGGTTTAATCAAATATATTTCATGGACACATTTTATGGATTTCAACACTTCAAAGTGGTTATGTAAAAATTATTAATTTCTAATTGTTATACTACTTTTATCAAGATCTCTTTCAAGATTCACATTTCACTAGACATGTTGGCCAGATATTGATCCTGATGACAGACAGATCAACCCCATCAACGACATCCCACTCGTGCTACCACATGACTTCACTAATCAACTCCAGCCTCTCTCATCATCACTACTGTAACCTCTTGTCAACCAACCCAACAAATCTGTCAACTACAGGCCTTACCAATAACAGCCTCACCCCTAATCACTTCCCTTACCAATGGCAACTAAAGAAACGCACAACAAATTTGTCACCTTTTCACACAATTATGCATTTATTCTGAAAATTGATCAATACACACTGTTGATCTTTCTTTGTTTTTTCCTTTGCAACTATACACTTGTTATAACATAATGAATTCTTTTACAATTTTACCTAGAATATATTCATTATTAAGTCAAAATAGGTTTTGTACTTGTAAAGAGAAAATTGAAAAACAGAAAAAAAATCTAAAAGGAAGGGGAAGTTTAACTGGAGTTATGTCATGTTTGGGGAATTTGTGGTCGAATGTTCAGTGAAAGAAAAAAAATGTAAAGATTTTTTTTTTTAACGATAAGATTTGTTTCTTACCTTGTCAGGTATTGGGCACAATCTGAAATTGGTTGTACTGCCTCGGATTTCTTTGCTAAAATATCTTGGCTTCCTTCTTGGCATACACTGACAAGAAGTCGTATAAAAAGTCAAGGAGAAACATACAAAATAACAATACAATTAATAAAGCACTATGGGAAATTTTTCGGAAATTTTATTTTCTGAAAGAAAATAAAACCTGCTGCAACAGTATTTTTACTATTGCCCAAATTAATAATGAAAAAGAAAGAAAAAAATGCAAATTAGATTCAATTACAAAGAAAAAATATTTATTCATTTCTAACCAGCTAAAGAAGGGTTCTTGCAAAAATTCGTCCCTTTTTGCCGAGAATAAGATAACCTATTCTCTGAGTAACACAATGTAAAATATATATCAGAAAAACAAAACTTAAAAATTACAATCCACCAAAAATCAAAAAAAAAAGAATAGCGCCCCCCCCCTGCTGTGTCAATGATAAGAATAAAAAAAGAGGGAGAGCCTTAGCTCTTCAGTACACTTTCAGTCCTTTCAAGATTCAAAAATTTTTTATCTTTTTTCTTTTCTTTCTTGTATAGACAAAGTTCTCTTCCTGGTGACCAAATTCCCTTCTTTCTTCACTTATTTTCCTCCCGTCCGCCTGGATATTACGCTTTTCTTTTACAGCCATAGAAGGTGAAAATTTACATAAACACGCGCGTTTTCTTCTCAAACGGCTTTAGCCCCAAACTCCACTTATGGACTTCTTTTCAAACTTTCTTTTCTGGGGCTTCTTCGAGAGGACTTTCTCTGAAGGGGAAACATGCCCTCAGCAACTTTGTTACCCATGCATCCTTCATTTATGGGCAAACACTGCCTGCCTTTTCAGCAGGGAGAGAGAAAATGAACCTCTTCTCTAAGCGGTCTCATTTCCAACTGCTGCTAAGGTCCAGTCCCAGTTCTCCCTTCCCCTTCAAAGGGGGGGGGGGTTCACCTTTTAACCGTCCAATCACAGTCCATTAAAAAAAAAAAAAATATCAGCAGGTTCTTAGGGCCAGTAACACAACGAGTGTCTTTTGTTCTCCCTTTACCTTAAAAATTTTCAAATTCTTCCAACAAAAAAAAAAAAAATTTTCTTAGTATGATCTACATAAAATCAAAAAACATCTAAGAGCACGTAACACACTAAAAAGTTATCCCTACTCTTTACACTTCTAACTTTCCTCCAGGTCTAGCAGAGGCAACCTGACTTCTAATATTATCTCTAACAGGAGAAGCTTCAACCTCCAAATCGGATACTTCCCTTGATGGTACAGCAGTCTGATGAGAATGGGTGATAGACAATTCCATTGGAAAAAGATGCCTCAAAGAATGCTCCTGGATACCTCCATCTACCCTCTTAATCTTAGCAGTCAGCACATGGTTCGTAGGGGATCCCTTCAACCTTAAGTTAAACTTAAAGATATAAGCCAAAACTCTCATTAATTTTGGAAAGGATGAAAACCTGTTGAAATCAACTACCAGGTCAACATCCTGAACCACTGAAATATCAGGAACAACATTAGCCAAAACCAACCTTTGACTGTTGAGACTCAAACAATTCAGTTCACTATGTGGCCAATTCACAGTGTCACCCGACAACCACTCAGGCCCAAATATCCAAAACTGAAATTGCGATTCAAACTTGTCCCTAGTGATCATCAGTCGATGGGGCATATCTGAAGTTCAAATCATAACACTGGTCTCTTAGCCTTTCTACTGCTCCCCGAATGTCTTTCAACCTGTTTTTGAATCATCCGATAACACCCATGACAGCACTATTTGAGCGTCTACGATCTTGTAACACTCTTCACGTTTACCGGTAAGACCTTCAAAATGTTAGGGACCGTTCTGATGGCAAGAAAAACGGCTAATAATTCTAGAGACGCCAAAGTTCTTTTCTCTAATGGTGCTACATTTGCTTTAGCAAAGGTATCACCATTAGTGAAAATTAGAAAGTAATTACTCACTGTAAAATTAAATAAATACATCCCGGGGTTGGATATTAAAGTTTTTATTTATCTTACTGGCATTATCTCTAAAAAGTAAAATGAGCTATTTTTAATAATGAACAAACAAAATAAAAATATATAATTGCAGTACTTAATATTAGTGCATGTTTATTTGTAATATTACTTAGTTAGCTTGATATGTGTAATTATGCACACAAAAATGAATAAAAAAAATTACAACTTTAAGAGATTTTGTGAATCTATCATTTCTGAGAATACTGGTGTGACCATTTGACATCTGTCCAGAGTAAAAACAACTACAAATAAAAATAATAATAAATAACTAATTGATTGATTATTATTTTCTTTATATAAATATAAACTTGCCTGTATTTATTTTTTTCAGAAGAAATCTGTTGAGGAGTATTTCAACAGGACTACAAAATTTTATTAAATCTTTAAAAACGAACATTTTAAAAGTATATATAAAAATATAGAAAACAAAAGGGAGAAAGAGCAGAGATAAGAAAAAATAATGACTCACTGTGAAATGGTGAATTGAAAAAATATAATAGCAAAAAAGGGCTAACTAATTATTGATCCTTGCCAATCAAAGACAAAAAATGAGAGAGAAAAAATAGCTACCAGGGAATCAGTAAGTGTAAATTACAGACTTTTTGTATTTTTTAATCATTTCATCCCAAGCAAGGTGATAATGCCACTAAGACGCAAGGGGGGGTTTCTCTTGTGAAAGAGAATGAACTTCAGGAAAAAGAACCGGGGAAAAAGGGATCAACCTCTACTCCTGGTCAAAAAACTGTGAAGGAATGTGAATAGTTAAATTGAAACAGAAAAAGGAATTATTAGATGTATCACCAATCAAAAAATGATGGATTCATTCATCTTCTATGGATTATCAACCCTTTGCAGCTTATTTAATGCCAGAAAATATTTTTAGATTGTAAGAATATTTTTTTTTTAAATAATAATGGTTTAGTGTTACAAGTCTTAATAATTAGCCCATAGCTGGGGGAGAAGAGGTGGATTTATACCTTTCACAATGGTATTTGTGTGTAAGTGAATATAATGAACCAAATGGAAATTTAAACACAGCTTTCCGATTAACAATTCCCAGCCATTATCCATTACACCACCCATATGTTCAATATATTGTAGCTGTAAGCCTTTCCTATCCAAAACAACCAAATAAAAGGATATGTTTGAGGACACCAATAAAACTTGGTAATGTAGCCAGGACAGCTCGATTGAAGTCAAGCAGCAGAGAAAAGAGGACATCACAAAGAGCATGAAAGACAGCACAGAAAGTAGACACAGGAAGTTCATTCAAGCGTACATACTGGCAACCAAGCATAACCTGTACAGCTACCTGTGAGGGGAGTGTGTTCTGAAAGAATAGCAAAGATAATTTAAGCAGTTTTCATATATGATATAAAAAAAAAAAAAAGAGTTTTTTTTTTTTTTTAGATTAGTTTATCATATAAAAAAATAATTTTTATTAGTCAATAAAACAAATATCATTTTTATATTGGCTACTATTTTTAAACAATTAATAGATTTTTTAGTCTGACATTATTTCTTATTAATATAAACATTTTGTGGGTACATGTGGTTGTGCAGACATACATTTATAAAAAAAATTAAATCAATGTCTACTGGTTTAGAGATCCTACTAGAGAAAATGTGCCTCCCAACAGGAATTGCACATGTATTCCTTTTTTGCTTTGAGAAACCCCTTCAATCCAAGTGTGCTTTACCATTAAGCCATAGGAGGCCATTACAGCAAAGCAAGGCTCAATTATCATATTTAAGAAAGTCTATACCCGCTAACTTTATTTTTGTACCTGAAACATAAGCAAAAAGCAGTTAATGGATAATCTTATTACAGTAAACGTTATATTTAATGCTTGAGTCAACAACTCCAGACCCCCAAAAACTTCCTCATTAAGCTACAAGAAAAAATAAGTTTCTTTTTTATATTATAAGATAAAAGCTTATTATAAAATGAAAGTTTTTACATTTGGTTACATTATTAAAAATGTTAAGGTAATTCTCATAGATTTCCATATTACAGGTGGAAAGTGCCAATTATGGAAATGTGATTTTTTTTTTTTTTTTACACTTATATGCAATCATAGGACTCTAAACAATTTTTATTTTTTAAATTTAATAGAATAAAAGCTTTATTAATAAAAATATAATATTTACAAGCAATTGTCAAGGAATTAAAAAACCCTGAAAATATAAAGATGTTTTCTTAAATCCAAGGCACTGTTCAAATATGAAGACAGATCTATAAGTCAATAACCAGACAAGTAGTCATTAGTTGAATTCTGATCTAGAATTTTCATTATCAATCTATGTGATAGTTACTAATGAATTAAGTGCATTAACAGGGAAGGAGATTATGTTGAAAAATATTGTGTAAAAAGCATTTTTCATCATTAGGCTATGAACTTATTAATATATCTACATAAATAATTAAAAAATAACACATCACATGAGAGATTCTTGCAGTAGTGTAATGTTTAACAAGTTAGCCAAGAAGACCATTACTAGTGTTATGAGTGTGATCCTCACTAATTTTCCAAAACTTGTGACCTTTTGTAAAATAAGCTAAGTAAATACCAATAACAAATAGCATTAGACAAAAATGGTTCTATAATGAACAAGACTGTTCTTTTTTTGTACAAACAAAAGCTTCCTGTAGTGTTGGATTTATAGGGGACAACACTCTGTTCTTCAGTTATTACAGAGAGCAGCAATCTCTTGCTGCCAAAAGTGGACCAAGGAGAAAATGTAGTAAAGCAACTTTATTTCCTCACCTTATATTTTTGCAAGATTTTTGCTTCAAGATGCAATAAAGGAATGGCAACATTTTCCACTTTGCTGAGGTCAGTGTGCCATTGTATCTGTTGGAAAATAGTCTGTGAACAACGAAGAATCTGCAAGAAAAAGAAACAAGGAAAAAATATTTATTAGAACCAATTGGAGTTGACTGACAAAAATATCTGCAAGAAATTTATTTGTCCTAGAGCAGTTGGTAAGTTACTTAATCAAAATAACATCATCTATCAGCAGATCTTATAACTGTAGTGATAGAAAAATAAAAAGTTCACTACTTAAAAAAAAAGAAAAAATAGAAAACTAAAAGTTGGCAAACCATTTGATTTTCCATAGAGATATAAAAACAAAAAGATAAGAAAAAAAGGAAATGAATAAAAGTAGACAAAAGGTCATCATTCATAAATGTAGGTGAAGAAAAAGAGATGGTCAAATGAGTCACATCTGTGAACCAATCAGAAATCAAGAAACAATTCTGGAATGAATTCCTTTGCCTCAGAAAAGTGTAAAAACAGGCAGAGACAACCAGACAAAGGAAACAGAGTTGATGAAATAATTTTGTTTGTTCTCCTATACCTACATCTTCAGACAACTAAAAATCCAACAGTGTCAAAAGGATTACTACTATCAACGAGATATTTACATACATGGTTAGGACAGACTGAAAAAAGCCTTTTAGCAACTGCAAAATGATTGATAGCAGCAGAAAAATCTGATTTTTTTGGAGGTAGAGTAAAATTTATAGAGATGTAGCATTTTTAATTTGGAAGACATCATGATACAATTTTAACAATGCCTACTGCTGGTAAATTTAATTTTGACAACACTTAGTCAAAAAACATTATGTTACTGCTCATAAAGAATATATTGGGCATATTGTTATGTCTTCATTGCATTGAATGAAGATAACAATCAAGAAGTATTATGTCGCTTGGAGTCAATGTAATCTTGCTGAAATAAGCAGATAAGCTAGATCTTTACTCTCTACTTGTTTACTCCTTCTACTGATGATTCTCGGCATCAGTCTATACATATTTGGATGAGTCCAAGTCCTATTCTGAAGTGATGTGTTCATCTCTACAACACATATACATTGACTTATTTGAAAGTACTGGGTCTCGAGTAGTGAATCAATTAATGGTTCAAGAAAATTCATAAATGGTGATGAAAACAGAAAAAAATAATAAAAGTTCTGAAGTGTGATACCATCTTGAATTTTTTTTATTATTATTGTTAAATGAAGCATTGTCAGCAATTTTTAACCTTTGTATTTGCAAACAAATGGTGTGGCAAAAGGAGAGTTATTCTATTGACACTGCCATGACTGTATACACTATTGACTCCCTTGGCAATGTCTATTGTTTTAAAAAGTAATGATGAGAATTTTAATAAAACCCAAACATATGAAAGTGGATTTATACATTTTCTTTATTCTTGAGAATTGATAACAAAGATATTAAACACGGTTTACTTATTAGATTGTTTATTTATAAGAATAATTTATTATTTTTTATAAGATTATAAAAATATGTGAACCATCTATAATTAAATATTTATTATTTTACAAAGAAATAAATATGAAAAGAGATTTTTTTATCTATAAATTTATAAATAGGTCTGTGAAAATTCAAATAAACATATAATGATGAGTAACTGTATCTATAAATAAGTGCATTTTCCGGACATTTATTTGTTCTCATTACACAAATTCACTAAAATAGTTTAAGAAAATCTCTTCCTCTGAAGCAAACATTCTTTTAATTTATGCTTATGTCATATGTTTATTCAAATTTTCTTGTTCTCTAGTTATTTATAAAATGGTAAATAATAAATATTGCTTTGTAAGTTGGTTTACATATTTTGATGATTTTGTAACTTTTTATGAATTTTTGAATAAAAAGATTTGTCAAATTTATTTCTTTATAAAAGGTAAATCATAAATATTGCATTGTACTTGGTTCATATATTTTTATAATCTTGTAAATAAACATTGCCAAGGAAGTCAATAGTGTATATAATAATAGTGGTTTGAAGAGAACAGAGGTCAAACACATTGTCAACGATTATAAATTTTTAACTAGTATTTCTTTCATCTTAATTTGTTTTCACTAGTAGTATTAGTAATATTATTGTCAATTTTTATTAGCTGAAGCATTGTCAACCATTATTAATTTTTGATTTGTATTTTTTCATCTTCATTTCATTTTTTTATTTCTACTAGTAATATTAGTAGTAGTAATCTTATATTGAAATTCTATTAAAAGAAATATTGTCAACAATTATTAATTTCTGATTAGTATTCATTAGTTTTCTTCATTTTAGTGCTTTTAATCACAACTATTCAAATTATCATTCTTTATTTCCAATCCTACACTGGCTACTGAATGATGGTTTTGAGTATTTGTGATGAAAAGCAACTGAAAATAAGATAAAAGAAATAGTCATCAGAAATTAATAATGGTTGACAATACTTCATTTAATAAAATTCAAGATAATCTTAATGATACTTCCCCATGTATGTAAACATTAATTATGATCAGGCTTACCAAAACATATGGATAGCAGCAGCAAATATCCCAGAACTTTTGCCCATTCAAGGGCCCATAAAAGGTCAATATTAAACTGACATATTAGGTGACATAAGAATAGTTTTGATCTCTGCCACTTGGACCTGTGTTGACACATCTCAAATAATAGAACTAGCTCAAACATTGATTTTTTTTGTAGAATGTCCAGTAGGTGAAAGACAGAGAGAGAGAGAGAGGGACTTGGAGTATATTTACACAATATATTAGCCACTATTTTGTTTCTATTTTTTTACATATCTATAGAAAAACTACTACTCTCTTTCCCTATGGACTGTACACTTGTAAAATGCTGTAGAATAGATTAGCCAAAATGTTGTAGTAACAACACAAAGAATGTGTTCAATAGTCTGAACAACTCTTGGAATTAAATCTCAAAATTATAGAAGGTAGACATAGAATGGTCACAAAAAGTAACACAAAGGAGTTCAATAGTCTTAACAACTCTTGGAATGATATCTGCATAATTTTCGAGAATAAGTATTGTTATACAATAGCTATAATAACTATGAATGTCAAACTATGAAAAAAAAAACATACATCAGATTGTGAGTTGATAAATCTTGGTAGATGCTCATCTTTCATTCGTTGACCAGCAAAAAGAGCAAGAAATACCTCGACTGTGCTCTTTAAGCGTATAGTATCTGTCAGTGCTGTTTCTGCAGTCTGTAAAAAAGAAAAAGAAAGTGAATATTCTTCTAATGGTCAAGGTGAATTTAGTTGTATTTAAAATTTTGTATTTTGAAAGCATACAAATAAAAGATCTATGTAGTTTACTGACACCATTAATATATCTTATAAATCAAAGCAATAAGTATACTTATATAATGCATAATTAAAAATAATTTATGAATATTACAGTGTGTGTGTGTGTGTACTAGCTTAAAAGCTGCCATATTGTGCAGCATTTAAGCTAGCTCCTGCGGAGAGCTGCTGATTGGGCCTTCATCACAATAGATAGGGAGGAGTAGATGCGATAGGCAACAATAAACTACAGAAGAACTCAAAACTGATTGCTGCATTTAAGTATTGCACTAATATTTTAAGCTTACCTTTTAAAAGTTCAATGATAATTCTTCTGCCACCATTTAATTTAAAGACAATTTGATGTATGTGAGTCCTTACTTTCCATACAAACAATTATTTTTATTTCATGGGTGGATTTTGCAATTAATTTTGATTATTCCCAAGTTATAAAAATTGTTATCATACATAAAACCTTGTTGCAAAAAATCATGTACAAAAATCGCTGAAAACAATTATAGTAATGAAAACTTGGGAATCCAAAATTTCAGAATTGTGAGTCTAGATCCGGCCCAGAATGTCTTTAATTTGCTACTGGAGTTGGCCTGATTCCAAAATGGTATAATATGTTGGGCTACAGCCTCTAGGAGGAAAGTTGAAAAGGTGTGACAGTGACATTTGCATTTATTATATAGAATATGTGCTATTGAGAGTTGTGTCACTTTAATTGAAAAAGTGTGACAGTGACACACTAACATTTGCATTTATTATATAGATAAGGAAGATGAGATATTGAAAGTTAGTGAGTTGTATCCCTTTAATTGAAAAAGGGTGACACAGTGACATTCACATTTATTATATATTTTAGTTACACATGTGTCACATTTTTAAATAGATCTTAAAATCATGACATTTACATTTATATATATATATTAATGCATGTTTCATTAAATAATATAGACAAGTTTTGTCTATTTTAAGTAAGTTCCTTTCATATTGTCTGATAAGTTTAATCACAGTATCGTTGAAAGATGAAAGGAAAACACCATATTGATAAATACTTAAATACAATCTAAGCTTTTGGCTTACACAAGCCATTATCAAAGATGACAATTTCAATAAATCAAACAACACACGGATGAAACAACAATGATAGTCCACTCTTGCTGCATGAAAATTTCCAAGTAACGACAAACTCGTATATACGAGACACGGATGCAAAAATCGCATTGCAGCTCGTGATGTCAAACATGACCATGCGAGAGTGAAAAACGAGAAGTATTAAATATGGGAAGCTGTTGGCATAAACCAATGTCTTCTGTAATAAATTATAGGCATTTAAGGATATTTGTGGAGAGTTCATAGTTTATTTTGTTCAGGTTAGGTTTCAATTGTTTTATGTATAAAGCTTCAAGAATTTTTAATTTTTGTTTCATGTTTAAGTATAGTTGTCAACAAGGATTTTCTGGAATTGAGTACATGGCCAGGCATGTTGTTTTAAATGTCTAAAAATGTTAGAGTTATCATTTGTTGTTATATCAGACAATATGAAAGGAACTTACTTAAAATAAATAGACAAAACTTGTTAATGAGACTTGCATTAATGAAAAATTGCTGCCTAAATATACACAATATATATATATATATATATATATATATATATATATATACACACACAGGGTGCAATGGATAAATTGCAGTCTAAATTACACAAAAGTGAAAATAACACCAACATCCCATTTTAACAGATATATTTACCAAAATTACACAAGAATATACTTAAATACTAAAGAGAAATTTATTCAATAAAATTGCCATTGCCTTCAACCCTGCCTCCAGAGAATTTTGGAATCTCCTGCAACTGTTTTGGACAGTCTCCTTGTTTAATATGGTCAATGCTGCCATAATTCTTGCCTTCAGTTCATCTTTGGTATTACAAGGAGTTTTGTTGATCTCTTGCTCAACTGTGCCCCACACAAGGGGGCTGCAGTCTGGGGAGTTATGTGGCCAGATGTAAGTGGACATGTGGTCACAGAAATTACCTGACAGCAATGACAGTGTTTTCCTTCTTGTGTGGCATGGTGCAGAGTCCTTTTGCCAGAAACAGGATCTCCCTGCAGCCACCCTGTCGACCCAGGGTAGCACTACCTACCTGGCTATGGACCTGATTGACCTGGAGGGATTGTTTTCAATGATGGCCTGGATCTCATCAACGAATTTGGGATTTGTTTTCTTATCAGAATGATCAGAGTGAGTTTTCCGAGTTGCTGTACCTTCGTAATCACCATTAGACTCATCTAACTCCTTCCAAATCCTTTGCACTGTCTTCAGATTGACACCTAAACACTCTGCAATGTTTGTATTGGAGCTTCCAGCACAAATAACAAGCAGTACAACATGCCATTTCCAAATCTTTGGTGGAGTGGAGTGAATTGTGTCATGGTGCTCTTTTGCTCACATATGGTGCCCAACTGACCTTACGATACTGAGCAGTTGACAAAATCAAAAACAAACACGCAAGTACAAAATTAACAATATTAAATGGCAACAATTTCCCCAGAGCATCCTATATATATATATATATATATATATATATATATAATTGTCCCCTTCCTGATAGAGCAGCAATAAGCACATAAGTAACTCTTCACTTCTGTAGGCTTTTCTGCATATATGGCAAAAAAAATTTGTAAGTTGTCTTGCTCAGACCTTATGAACTGTCATGTAACTCTTTAGACCTGCTGCTGACCCACATACTTTGTCACAAAATTGACATAAATTACTTATAAGTCATTGTGGATGGTTGTCAATGTAGTCTACTTGGTCTTTTGTAACATGCAAGCTTAGATGACTAAAAAGCATTGCTATGGATAAGAAGATCTTGCAACAGATGTATATATGTACACTGTGCACACTGAAGATTACCTGGTATTGTGGTCATGTCCTGCTTTGTAAGATTGCATAATTAACCCTCTTTTACATGAACACCTTACACTCATTATTTACTGTGTGTGCGTGTTACACATACCCAGACCTTCATTTAATAACAGTGTGTAAGAAACTGCCCAAAACGTTCTGACTGTATTCAGAAACTAAGAACCCCACTAAAAAGAAATTTACTGCTACAATAAATGCTTCTCACACAACAGATTATAGAAAACAAAAAATATATTAATCCTCATTACTACAAAAATTACACACACAAAAAAATGGTTCAAAGTATTAGCACTTGGGGAAATCAACATTATAAAAATTTCTCCACACACTTGGTTTGCAAAAAAGAAAACTTGCAAGAGCACAAGAAAAATGAAAGGAAAAACCTCACAAGACATTACTTGTTAGTAATTTTTAAGAGAAGTATTGCTGCCCAAATATATACACACACATATGGGGGTGTACCAGGTAATTGAGAACAAATATAAGGAAAAACAAAGATATTCAACAGGAAAAAAAAACAAACTATATTTTCAAAAGATTCGTACATCTGTTCAACTTAGAAAGCGGTTACTTAATAAAACTCTCCTCGGCTTCTAAATCAGCATTTGTCAATCTTTTTACCATTGTGGGAACCTTGAAATATTTTTCATATCTCAGAGAATCCTGCATAAAAATTATTATGTACCATTATTAATCTCTCTCTCTTATATTTTATTGTAGGTGGGGTAGGTTATTGGTTTAAGGACCCCCTCCCCATTTTTGTCAAATTCATTGGCAATGCAAAAAATTTCACATTGCATGTTTATGAAAAAATGAGGTTTTCATTCACAAAAAGCAAACTGTAAATACACACAAAAATAAACATAAATAATGAATATTACATACATATAACGCATATAAACAGAACAAAAGCAGATAACTATTACAATAACTTATTGTTTACTGACAATGTCATTTCTTATGCTTACTATAATTTTAAATAAGCAGTTGAAACCTTTAACCAAAAATTTTCCAACATGCCATACATCTATAAAATCATAAAAAAACATAAAATTAAACAGAAATTTGTCAAAATGCATTAGCCTATTTATCACAGATTCTCACAGAAATCTAGATTGATCAATTGATTTGTTTTTTATAAGTTATCAACCTTTTGTGGGTTATTTAAATCTGAAACATTTTTTGGATTGTAAGATTAATTTTTTTTTTCAAATTAATATTAACAATTTTGGGGGAGATAATGATTTTTCCACACACAAGTCCTACTATTTAGCCCATAGCTTGGCCAAGGAGATAAATTGATACCTTTACCAAGGGTATTTGCATGTAAGTGAATGTAATGAACCTGACTGGAATTCAAACTCTGCTCTTTGAATTCTCATTCAAAGTTGTTATCCATTACTCCGCCACATATCCTCAGAATGACCTTGATGCATAATTGAAAATGAGTGAATACCCAGATCAGCTGGTTCTTGTTCAAGTTGGATATCACATCCATTATAGAGGCTTTCAATAAGTATTGTAGAGCTTTTGGTTGGTTTTCCGCTTGATGACACTGCAGTTTAAATAAGTCAAAGGCAGTCAAAATCAGGACAACTAAAAGTCCATATTTTGGGAGTGATGATCATGAAAGCTTCTGACCAAATATTCCTGAATCACCTGGGGTATGTGGGATTGATTGGGGTTTTTTTTTTGTTGTTTTTTATGGCTTATCAACTCTTTGTGTATTATCTAAAGCCAAAATATATTTTTGATTCTAAGAATAATACTTTTTTTTTTTTGTGAGTGAATATTGCATCAACAATATTTTGAAAATAAGGATTTTTCCAGATATATGTTCTACTATTTAACCAATAACTGGCGGGAAAAAATGGATTCATACTTTTCTCAAGGATATTTACATGTAAGTTAATGCAACAAACCCAACTGGAATTTGATCATAACTCTCCAATTTCTCACTCTGAGCCATTATCCATTACACAACCTGCACATCTGAGAAGAGACATAAGATAATCTTAGTTATCAATCTATATAAATTTTTCATAGGTCCAGCTATGATGTTGAAATTCATCTGAATAAACAAAATTTTTCTATGTGAAGTGCCCTTCAGGACATGGGCAATCATAGCTCTCCACAACTCCCTATTCTTTGACTCCTTATCTCCTAGTGCCTGTTCTACAATCCATTTACAATTTAATGTTTCTCTATACCCCCTCTTGTCTACAATGTATCTGGTGGGTATCGAGTTCTCCAGACCCACTTTCCTCATTATGTGTTTACAAAAAAAAAAAGAGCTAAAAAAATGACAAGTTCTATCCAAATAAAAAATGTCCAAACAAATATCCTTTCTTCTTTATTACTTTAAACACAAACTCAGTTATTCTTAATTTCTGAATATTAAGTAAGCAGATGTTACAAAATAAAATAACAAAGGATGCAGATGTTCCATCAGACTATTCTAATTTAAAGAATGTTATGCAATTTCAATAGTTGTATAACAAGATGCCAAAGAAAATAAAAGAAATATATAACTTACCAAATCAGAGATCATCTTCTTTGAATAGAAATTCAGTTCATCAGTTTCTGAACTCAAAATAATGATTCCTATTGTTAATTTAATTTGCTCAATCAAGGACATGTTAAGTTGAGAGTTGAAACTTAGTTGGCTTTTATTATCAAGGTCTAACAACAACGCCTTTTCACTACCAACATGATCAGCAACAATGTCCACAGCAAGACATACAGCATCCTGACTTCTAAGATCAGTTGAAATACTAATATTTCTACTACTGTTAGTATCCTGATAAGAGAGGAAAGTATACAGAAGTTGATGTAAGGTGTGCCAGATGTTCTGTCTTGTTTCAGAACTCAAGTGTTGGGCAGTATGATTCTGGTTGAGAGAAATGAAGTAGAATTGTACAGAGAGAAGAAGCAGAGACACATCTTTCTGAAAAAAAAAAAAGAAAATTTTATGTGAGGAGAAAATACCAAGGGAGTATTATCAGCATAGATATATTCTAAAGTAGTTTCCTTACTAATCATTATGCTCTAATACAAGTTGTAAGATTTGTATAAATTCTACAGTTGGAATATAAGAATTTATATATTTTAATAGTACAGAAAATATATTATTTACAAAATAATGTTTTTATTCTACTTTTGAATTTAAAGTATTCATGAGGGGAGGGGGGTAGAAACCCTTATCCTAAATTTTTAAGAACTTATAAAGACAATACACTTTTGTTTTTATGAGCAACTTAGGATTGGACAAGTACTCAGGTTGATGAAGTTTTGCACAAGAATTACTATTCAAGTGGCTTCATTTTTTTTAATGCTTTTTTATGCTAAAAATAAAAGACACTTCACGGTAACTAGAATTGGTATAATTCTTGAGTACAGTATAAAATAATATTTTTAGTAATTTTGTTTAATTCTACATTTTTCTTTTTATGTTACTTAACCCTTTGATCCCTGTGTTCTGAACAATTTTAATTCTTCTGCCCAAGCTTCTGAGTTAAAATTTGCAAATAATTGGTATGTAATGTTTCATTGTAGATATAAAAATAGTTACAAAAAATATAAGCATTATACTTAGCAAGGAGAGAGTATGATTGCATGCCTTCACTTTATCACCAGATATTCTTTCTATATAATCCAGTCTACCCAGCAGGTGCTGCACAAGAATAGTAAAACATGACACGTGTTTACCCATGGTTCAACCGGTGATCAGGGCTCAAAGGGTTAAGCCACACTGACATCAGTAGTGAGCTTACTTAGGACTTATCCAAATTTGAGTACAGTTGTTCATAAACAAGTTGCATATTTAAAAAAATTGTATATTCCTTATGAAAAATCTGGAGGAATATACAATATTTATATTGTTCATTTTTGTTCGATTCAGTTAGTTCACATTGTCCAAAGTATTTAAATTATTTACATTATTCACACTGTTGTCCTCATCTTTATGACCATATTTATGATATTTTGGTTGTTGTATGCACCAGCCTTTTTCAAGTGATATACCTTGGAATTTTGAACTGAAACCTTTACTTATTTCATGGGGGTAAATTATTCTCCAAGGCCCAGTGGATAAAAGCATTGGTTGAAGTAATCCAAAAAGTGACTTAACCCAAAAAGATGCAAGTTCAATACCTGGCCACAGCAAGGTTGAACAAAAACTCTGAGAGTTGAGTTACTGAAAGGAATTAACTGAAATTGAGATATCCAGAAAAGGCATGGCATGTGGAATCTACCTCCATGGACTAAATAAAGGGTTCCATTCAAAATTCCAACATATATCACCAGAAGGCTGCTGGAGTGTACAATGGTCAAAACGTTGTGAATATGGCAATAAAGATAAGGACAACAGTCCAAATGATGTAAATAATGTAAACAGTTACAATACCTTATCTCAGAAATATGGACAAGTATTGTCCAAAGTGTTGGTCATATGCAACATGAAGTTTTCTATGGCTAACTACAGTTTCCTTATTGGGAAATGGTTAATATTAGCATTATCATTCCATCCTTTATTTGTGATGGATGTGTTCCAAGACAGATATTTGAAGTACCAAACACATTATATATTATGTTGGTATAGTTATGATTTTTTTTGCTTTCTTTATTAAGCTGAGGACTTATCACCTTATTACTTAAAAGGAGCACTATAGGTCTTCACTTTGATATATTGGAACTGCCAGTATCATTAACCTTTTGTTTTGGGACTATTATTAAACAAAACATCAATTATTTCTGTAATTGACTGTGTGTCACTGAAACCACAGATATTTGCCTCTTGTGGAATCATTAATGGAGAAATTAATTCAAAGACTTTTTGAAAAGACAGAATGATCTTTTGGACCTTCTAAAAAAAAACAAAAAAAAAAACAGTCGTAACATCCAATGCATGTGCTTGGCAAATTTTTGAAGGAATTAAAATGCAAACAATAAATGCACATAAACCTCTTTTATTTATTAAAACCTCAGGTGGGTTTTGCAAAGCTTATTGATGGGAAATCAATTTAACTCTATCAGCTCTTAAGAGATGTCAATTGTTAAATCCCTGGAGTCAAATTGATGAAAAATCTGAATGTTGATTTTATATGAAAGTAAATTAATTTCTCTTTCAACTCATACCAAATTTAACCTTCTTGGCATTACTGGTGATGAAATATGGCTCTGGAAATCTCCAACTTTTACAAATTTGTAGATTTCTGATGCCTTTATTTGGCCATTTGAGGAATGCAGACACCGTGTTTTGTAGCTGTTGACTGAGTAACCCCATGGGAGTATGTTCATGTATCCACTGTAAGGTTATCTCTTGTTACTAAGTTACATATAAGATATTCCAAATGACTGGATATAACCAGGTTAAGCATTATATTCACTTAAGTATCATCAAATAATTATATTATATTGAAAATTTTCTGATCTGTTTATGTATTTGCTTAGAACTAGTTGTAATAGTATTACTTATTTAAGATGAAAATGTAGGAGTGACACCAAGTGAGCTTGTGTAATAAGTGACTGCTGCAGTTACATTGACCCAGCAAAAAGATATTGAACATCTTTTGCAAGGTTTTTTTTCTTAAACAAAAACAAAAAAAAAACATGGCAATCACTCTGATCTATCAACTTTCCTACATACAGATTTGATTTCCTGTACCATTTTTTTCTTTTTTTATTTCATTTTCTATTTAAATCTGTAATCATTTACTTGGTTTGGGGATAGGTAAATATTGGTCATTTATATTTTAGCATTTACTTGGTAGGCGTCTGCTTCTGGTAGGGAGATTAGTTTGGTTAAATTTTGTTTAATGGTGTATCAACCCTGATGGATCATTTTACACCAACCACATATACACTTTTTTCCCAATAGTTGGAGGTTCAGGTAGGGAGGAGTTAACCTTGTTGATATAGATTGTTATAGTGTATGATAATTTGAAAAAGATCAAAGATGGCTGACAAAATTGTGTTAATACAAACATTTTTTGGTAAATCCAAAAATCTTCATATCTCTGAACAAATACGTACCTTATGGAGATTTTCATAACAACAAACTGACATGTTCTTCCATAATTTGTCCACAGTTTCTTTGTCTAAGTCTGGTAAGGAATCTTGGTAAGTCAGGACAGAATTGTAAGCTGCAATGAGTGAAGAGGGCAGTACATCACTGAAGCAGTTGCTTGTGTTCAAAATGTCTTTTGATAATTGGTCCAGGAAACCAACAACCTCTTTTTTAACATTTTTCTTCCAGATACAAGCATGGATTTTCTGTAACAAGGAATATAAAGATGAAACACATATACCAGATTTTAAAGATGGCTGCCAAAGAGAAATACAAGATTCTTTATTTTTAGTTATTTAAATATCAGATAAAAATAGAGGATAAGTTGAAATGTTAATTTGCTAAAGTTTTTTTCTCCAAAATGTGTTTTTTAACCAGGATAACAAACTTAAGTCATGAACAAGTGAAGAATGTATTTGCTTAGTGAAATAAAAATAAATGCATTTATCTTTGCATTCAAGAAGATAATGAACACATTGAAAGTCTTAAAACTAAATATCATATAGCTTGAAAAAAATTAACATTCATTTGTACTTTGATATTAAGATTTTATATAGAAGAAAAGTTATTAAATATCTATAAATGAATGCATAAAAATCTGAAAATTTTGACAACTGTCACAATACAGTCAAACATACTTTTTTAATGAAGTTAAGTAAAACACACTTAATGCCATCTAATGACACTAACAGAAGAAACATTTTGGCCAACTGAATAAGATAAAAACAACTCTAAACAAAAGAAATTAACAGAGAATTTGTACAGGAATATAATGTTATATTCTGTAAATAAGTTGAAATGTTTATATATTTACAAAGGTAAATCTGGATTATTCCAAATTAAGAAAAAAATAAAATAAACACATTTTCGAAAAGAATTGCATGCAAGTAAATTAATATCTGTAGCCAATGGTGGAAAAAAGAAAACATTTATTTTACACAAGAAATATTTTTCAAAATATTTTCCTTCCTTGAGTGGTTAAAAATAATGAAATATATTTATATATAGGTGGAGAAATGGAAAAGTTATAGATTTGAATACAGGTTGCTATTACAACACTGAACAAATACCAGCTTTCAAAATATGACAATGTTGCTATTTTTTAAAAATGGGTGAGTTTAAATTTGTCTATTTTTTTATAAACAACTTTAGCCAATGAATAGTTTTTTCCATGACGGAAGCCAAGTTCCAAAGCAGGCTTAACCCAAGCTTTGTATGTGGGTACAAATAAAAAGCTAATTTTCAAAATCATGTACAAACCTTTCCAAGTACTTCAACCAAAATTCTAGCAAGTAAATATGTGAGAGAATATTTCTTATTGAAGGTTTCCGTTTTCTGAGGCTTCTTGCTGAGTTTCTTGTGAGCTTTCTGCAAACTTTTACAGAGCTAAAAATCATAAATATATGATAAAATTATCATTGCATTTGATAGAAAAAAAGAATAATAATAATAATAATAATAATAATAATAATAATATTTACCTAAAATTTAATATTTCAAGTATTCTGTTATTAAAATGTTACAGAAAGAAATATCTTTGATTTAAAAATTTCAGACTCCATCCAATACATAATGCAACAAGATGTATCTTACCTTTAAAATATATGACTGCAGAGCAGGAAAATTTTTCTGTTCATTAACAAGAGCAAAAAAGGCACCTTCAAGCAACTGATGTAATGAGATGAGCAGTGGAATTTTGCAAGCACCGACCTAGATTATGAAAATCATGAAAAATAATTAAATATTTGTGAAATGAACTGATGCATGATAGCTTATTGTAATATAAAAGATTAAATACTTCATTTGTTCTTAATAAAATTAAAACTTTGAAATTCATGTTGTACAATTTGGAATAAAGATATTGAAAGAAAAAAAAAAACAATGAGGAATGTCAAAACATTTCAGCCCAAGAAGCCCTTCAAAAAGATTCCAAATACCTTTCAAGATGTTTTATACTAGATTTTTATTTCAGCAATTAACGCATGCATAATAGTGATTTATGTTTTTGTGAGTATTTATAAGTAAATAAATTCATGACATTTTGAGTTCAATTCCTGGGCCAGGTAGTGTGGATGTAATCAGATTCAGTGGAAACAAGACTAGCAATAACTAAACAGTAGTAAAAAGATTGGGTTTCAGGTTCCTTTTAAAGTCTACTCCAACTCTATACTTCTAATGTCTCCACCTAAACTCTGAAATTTGATTTATAGGAGAAGATATGTTTGCCTATCATCCAGTTCACACTCCTTCCCAATCTTGTGAATAGGAATAAGTTTATTCCTTGTTTCCTGTTTAGAATTAGGTTTCCAGTTCTCATTTTCTTTCACGCCCAGTAGCCCCTTGCAACTTAGTGGAATTATCACCTTGCTTGGGGTGAACTGATTAAAAAAGAAAAATGATAACTAACCAAGATGAGATACCCCTAGAAATGGACAGTGGAATAAAAACAATATATTCTTGAAAATTTAATAAATTTGAATTCCTTGGGGGTTACTCATATTGAAGAGAGCTGTAGGGCACAGTGGCCAAAATGTTGTTATTGTAACACCAAAGATGTGGATATTAGTTTTGCTGTAAATAATTTAAAAATGCTTTTTTAGCAGTTAACATTTATGGGTCCCTAGTAGTCTTTGCTCAAACTACAGATGTAAACATGACATAATTGTTTTTTTAGGTTTTGTTTTTGTAGTGAACAGAAAAACATTTTGAAAAAAGATCATAATATTGATATTTGATTAGGAAATTTCCAGTTATCTGTCCACTTTAAACAAACAGGTAAAAATTTGGTTTAATTAACCTGACAGGCACAAAGTAAGGCTCCAGTTTAGCCTTATATTGATTGTTAAACTTACATACCAATACGGTATAATTTACTGATATTGGTTGTTTCCTACAAACTCAATAAGAGCAGGAGACTTATCACACCTGAAAATTAAAATGACTTCTTCCATGTAGCTCCATATAAGGTCTTTCAATTTTTCTCAGTAATAGTTTGTGTGAGCTGCTTGGAAAACATTTGTCAATCTGAACAAAGAATTGCTTCACTTAATTTATTTTTTATGTTCTATCCTAACATCGACATTGTAAACCTTTACATTAGGTAAAGAAAGAAAATAATATTAAAATCTTTTAGAATTTTCAAAAACTAAAACCATGTTGGTCTGGGGTTCTCTTGTAACCAGAGAAAATTTGGTGTCCATAGCTGTAGCCAGCCTTGAGTTATGATCTGACAGTATAGAGTGCAGCAGAAATACCTCGCACACAATAGTAAGAAATAAGCTATATGAAAGCATCATTACCACTTACCATTATGTAGGAGGTATTTCTGCCGCACCTTGTACAATGATAAAAGATTAAAAAAAAGAATACATTTGTTAAATCACAGTATGGTATGGCCCCATTTTTGATCAGTAACAATAAGTAGAACAAAATTAGCAGTTGAGCAGCAAGTATGTCCTAATGAAATAAAAGAAAATAAACAATAAGACATAAAGCAATTTACTGAAGAAATTAACAAACTTGATAGAAAAAAAAATAACATCGCTCTCACAAAAGGTGTAAACAATGAAAAAAGAAAACTATTTAATTAGTTACTTACTGATTCCTGTTTCACTTCAGTGAAAATTGTCTCGAGATAGTTGAGGAAAGACTCAGGATTTAAATATAAGAAGACAGAGTTGTCTCCACTTGAGAAGAAAAGAATCTGAAGACAAGCTATGCTGCACTGAACTGAAGCCAGATTCAACAACTGACAGTCTGCTCCTTTATCATTCAGTTCATTTACAAGATCACTGAGCGGGTTACATGCCAACAAAACCTGCAGACCCATAATAACTCGAATTTGATCATTGGATGACAGAAATCTAAGGGGTAAGTTCTGTAAGACCTAGAGGATGAAAAAAAAAGTCAAAAAATAAATATTTAGGATTATGAAAATGAACATTTACAAAGTAAAGATTTAAAGCATCATTTTGTTTTATTTTATTTCAGAGTGTGTGTGTAATTACACACACACACACTGAATAATGATAAATTCTCTGATTTCCTGAAAATGTTGCTATAAAATTTGATCTAACATGTAATGAAAGTGGTTGCTTCTGTCTACCTATAGCAGGCCTCAAAAATCATCAAAGATGCTACACATGAAGAAGTCATTCATTATACATTATGCAACATTTATGTAACAATTACTGCAAAAGATGCCCAATGTTGCCACATCTGCACAAGACAATGTAAAACCCTAGCATGACTAAAAAGCCACATCCACACTGCCCATATTTTAAGATGCACCATTGTTTGAAACTGAGTCACAGCCATCATATATATCTGCACACAAATAACAAATGTAAACTAACATGAACAATAAAAAATAAGCAATGTTTCCCCTGACCTGCCAAACCAATGCATCTGCATAAATTGACATATTTCATTATTTTCAGTTTCAGTGATTAACTTCACTGAATTTCTTTCATGAAGCATTTCTGTTAACTTTTGACAAGTTTATCTTTTCATCTTATTTTTGTTGCTTTACACATAGTGGTAATAGATATAAGTCTTAAGCTGAAGGTCATCTGGATTGAAAGGCATTTCAAGAAAGCCAGAAGTGACCACAATCAAAACATTGTGATAATAACAACAAATGAGTGTGTAAATAATAACTCCTCATCCCAGAAATTCAGACAGAAATTAGTCTAAAGCTGTTTGAATTTCTTAGATGAAGCATTTTCATTATTAATTTTTTTCACTAAGATATATTTCCTCTTATTATTGTTCCTTTTTATAAAAAATACTATGGTTATTTTTGTCTACAAACATTAAACAGCATTGACTGAAAAAAAGAAAAAAGAAGGTAGTCTTTAAAGAGATTTGAATTTGTATCTGTATTCTTGGGAACTACTCTAACAAAAATGATACCTAACCAATTTAGAGATCAATTAACTAAGAAAAGATTAGTAACCACTTTTGGAAATTATGTGTTCCATGCATATATAAACAGATAAAGCTATGATTACAATTTTTACTTTCAGAGTGAAACAAAACTTTAGACATTGTATGAAGAAACTAATTTTGTTTTAAAATATGCCTCGTATATTTCAGAATTTGGTTATATCAATGTTCCTTCGAACTAAAAAAAAATTTCAGAGGTCAATTGAAATATTTACTTACTTGAATATATGTGGTTGAATTTTTCTGAACATACAGACCAGTTTTATTAGCAACCGGAAAAGACTCAAGTAAGGAGCAGACATCTTCCCCAATATTTTTTAGACATTTGGCTGCTTTCCTAAAAACAAAACAGGTTTATTTTAAAGGATTATCATCATATTATTTTTTAATCTTTTTTTTTTTTGACACATCAACTTCAATGAATCATATTTGGAAAACAGCATCTCTGGAAAGCTCTAAAATTGTGCTCCTCTGCAAATATAGCCTAGACAATGTTACCATAATATCAGCTCAGAAAATTCAAGTCAATCTTGTTAATCTTTTAATTATAGTATTACATGACATTTACCACCACACCTTCCTTATTTTTACTGATGTAAATTGGTTTAAAATACATTCAAAATCAGCTTTTTTTTCAGTTTATTATTTTTGTTTTACACTCATCAAAGCGAGATTGCAGTCTGTGACACTATTTTAGCGCTAGTATCTGGAAAAGAAGGGTTAATAAGAAGAAGGAATATACTGATCAACATGAGAAGATTTTTTTCAAAAAGTCTAATTTTCTCAAAAAATGAAGAATTACGCAAAGAATAATTTTACGAATGGCAATCTGACAATTGATGACGGGCATTAAGAGTGCTTGTTATGAAAATACAGAATAAGCAGACTGGCGAAGATATGATCTGTAGACCAGTAATTGAGAATAAAGATTCTTTGTATTTGAGTACAATGACCCTGATGAAGTTCAGGGAATGGCTGATCAGAAAGGCCATGTCGTAAATGACTGGTTTTTGCAGAATGGAAAAACTTTGCATAAGCAAAATTTTAAATGATAATTTCTTTTAATTAATGAACATGAGTTAAGCCACACCAAAGCAATCGAGAAGCCATTGGCTGGGTAGTAGCCATAGTGGTGAATACAGATGAAACACTGAGAGAAGTGGAGAAGCTACCCACACTCATCAGTAGGCATTATGGTGTGAGATGCTAATGAGTAAAGGAAAAGTGTTTAGATGGATTGATATCCTGCAACCACTCCTCACAGAAGAGGGCATCTCCCCAAAATTGGATAATTAATCTTCCAAAGCCAGACAAAAATGGACTCTAAATGGAAGTCAGGGGAATCACTCGAAGCCCAGACTGCATCTAACTGTACACTGGTTTTGGGTAAGTGTCAATAAATATGAATGCCCTCGAATTGAGAAGAGAGTTTGTCCAAAGAGCTCACTGAGAGATACACATGATTGCCTGCCAACGAGACCTCTGACCTTGTGCTACAAACCAAACCAGTAAAACAAACTTTGCCAAATCACCAAAGTGTCATGTCTGACTAAGTGAGAAGAGAGTTTGCTAGAGTTCGTCCACAGAGCTTGCTGAGAGATCCACATGACTGCCTGCCAATGAGAACCTCTGACATCAGCCTTGTGCCATACTTAACCAAGCCAGCAAAACGAATTTTGTGAAATCACCAAAGTGTCATGTCTGACTAGAAATGGGTTGGGTCAAGAATTGAATGCATGCAAGCTTCTACATTTTAAATCAACTGCTGTACAAGGAACCAATAAAAAATTAGAATTTATTTTTTTTTATCCGAGCATCATTTTCTGTTATTGTGTAATCACTCTGTTTGGACCAACCCAATGCGAGGATCCCAGACAATTCAGTCTTGGCTGTCTTATGATCTAAATCACAACGTAGGATAGGCCAAGACCTGGATTAAAGTGGTCACTTCAGTGACCAGCTGCGGGAGTTGCGTGTCTTGGACGACCAGAAGGGGTTGCGGGCAAAAGTCTGTCTTTACCTATGAAATCTCTCAAACCTTGAGTGCATTTGGAAACAACTCTTAAACTTTAAAAGTATCTCTTTATCAAATTCCAGGAACCTCCTTTGAGCAAATCCATTAAGTCCTGAGGTTTTCATTCATAACCTGTCACTTTTACCTTTTGGTGGTTTTTATCTCATCACAATGTACATCAGTCAAATAACAGTGGTAATTTTAGAGAAATTATAGAATACTAGTGATACTAGTGAAAATTTCAGTTTTGCTATTTGAATCTTCTGATGACACAGAATTCTTAAGTTAATGATTGAATAAGCTCCTTGTGAGTTTTACGGCTATAAAACATCTGTGAAAAATCCCTATTGCATTGTTAAATATTTGAGCTTAACAACTTTAACAAAATATTGCAATAATCATCATAAATATGAATGCAGTCCATTATGTAAGAGGATGCAAGTGAAAAGATTAGAATCTGAAAAGGTTTTCCATTTCACTAAAGCAGATGTTATGCCACTCACTTAATTTTATGAAATTTTGAGAAATTAAATTTTCACCCCCTTAATATTTATATTAGTCAAAAGCAGAACTACTTGGAGAATTTAAATCATCAATTTGTTTTTGTAAAACAGAAACACCATTTACTGAAAATATGCTCTGAATTGTAAAATAAAAGTGCAATAAATTAAGACATTATTTAATTAGGAAAGCTTTTAATTATTTTTATAAATAAAATATATTAAGGACAATATTGTCTTAAGAAAAATTTTTTTCAATGAATAATTAATTTTTACAAGAACTTTTTTCATTCTTTTTAAAATTTTAATTAGAATAATTTATTAAGTTCTAAATCTTAAAATTCTATATTAATTTCAACCTTTTAGATAATATTATTATGTAAAAATTATTTACTAATTAGTACAATTCATCAAACATTATTTTTAAAGGAATTTTGAATTTTTTTTTGTATGTGTATAAACATGCTGATTTTTATAGATACAGTTGTTCATACAAAACGTTTTCAGAAAATAACAGTGATAGTAAATTTACTATAGTAAATTTAAAGCCAAAGTACCTAAAATTCAATAAAACATTAAATTATGGAGAATATTTTCCTAATATTTTAAGATTACTGAGTTTTGAAATAGAGCAAAGTATTTTGCTTATTGGAAATATTAAATTTAATCTATTAACTTGATATTAAAACTAAAATAAAAATTTCAAAAAAGATTTTGTATTTATAAAAATTCATTTAAAACCTTAGGTATTGTGAATCTGCAGAGGTACCTACATAAAATGTAGCCTTTTCTCTCTGATTCCACTGAAAGTTATTTTCTTTAAAGCCACATGGTCTTCTTAACAAGTTTAATTCAGTTTTAAATCAAATGCCAACAAAGTCAAATTTGTGAAAAAAAAGGAAAAAAAATCCTTTTAACATGATTTTATGAGTCAACTAACAGTTGACCCCAAAAGTTTTGACCTAGATTTTATCTTTTCTGTATAGTCACACTTTTCCAAATTGCTAATCTAAACAACGAGGAAAAACAAACATACAGTTGGACCAATCCCAAAGTTCTGAAAGTTTGTTTCAAGACAGAGTTATGATTACGAATATTTCACAGTACATGCACACACACATATTTTATATATATATATATATATATATATATATATATATATATATATATATATATATATAAATGGTTTTAGTGAAGGAAGTAATTTTCTAAAAAGATTCACAATCTTTAATCCCAATGACAAAATTTTATTGATAATTTTGGATTTATTATTAGGTGTGTGTGAAAGTCTCCAATGAAAAAACAATTTTCAACTGTTTATTCAATTTTTAAAAAAGTGTTGGGAATTTTTGCACACACTTAAATTATTGTGGAAAGCCAAAGTCAATTTTACAAGGACAACATCTGCTTCAACTGTGTAAAACTGCAATATATACTGACTGCACCCTGACAAGGTTGATAAAAGATGTAAGAGCTTTTTGTTATTAACCCTGTCTGTATAGTAAAGGTAGCTATGGAAAATTAGTTTGCTCAAGTGCTCATCCATCCATTCTCTTTATCTGTCAACCATTATAGCATGTGAGAGAGGAAATGTTTTTTTGTCAAAATAGCTGACAATGTAATATATGCGGTTTTATATATTTCCCAAAGGCATTCGTGCTCAGTGAATACAGTTTTAACCAAGCTCAGGTTGCTTATTCTGTTTTCTATGTTGATAACTGTAAACACTACATTTGTGGGAAATTTGTCCCGGCTTACCCACATGAAAAGGTTAAGGTTAACAGTGACAGAATCAATAAAAGCAACAACAGATTGAAAGTTTAGAGCAGACAATTCTTTCTTTTAGGCAGAAGAATAAAGACTCTGCTCAGGGTGTAACAAGAGAAAAAGAAAATGTTTATTTACATACACAAAAAAGAGGTAAAGGGATATATACAAAATATAAGAGAAAGAAAGGGAGAAGAAAAGTCCTTTAACTTAAAGGAAGAAGAAGGGTACTTATAAAGGCTTGCTCAAAAATAGTTCTTAAGGGGTTAACACTCACATAAGATTTCTTCAGAGCTCTTGTTGAGGGAAAAACAATCAGGTGATCCATAGTTTGTAGTTGAGTGAGTTTGTGGGCCAACGACAGGAATTTCAAGGTCCTAGGAAGCAGATCTTGAGTAATTTTAATAGAGCATTGTCTTTAGAGCCCAGCATGTAGATCTCTTCCTTGAAACAGGTTCCAAAGATGACTGGCGTTACTATCACTGACCTAATGTTATCATAGATGATGTCAATTACTCACTGCCAAAGAATTGCATATTCTTTGAATTTATTCAGATTAGAAGGCTCAAAAATATCGAGAACTTTTCCCTCCATAATTGCTTATACACTTTCCTGGCCCTCTTATTTGCAAGAAGACATGTTTTTATCTCTGATAAGAATCAAGGCTTTGGGAGCTGGTTTTGGAAGCATGGGTGTATGTTGGGGCAAAGATCAGAAAAGAGATTAGCATGTGAACTTGTAAAACGGCGTAGGAGTGGTTCTCAAATTAAATTCTGATACTTTGTAGCTCTATAATGTAAATTGTTTTAAAGAATTAAACAATTTTCTCTAAAATTCTTATGGTCTTGAATCCTACTTACAATTTTTTTTTCTGATAACTTAGGTTTTAAATTATTTTTACTCCAGAGAAAACTGAAGTCAATCTTAAAAGTTTGATATAATGAACTTGAAGAAAAAAACCAAAATGTGCAGGTATGTCAGCTTGAGTAGGAGTCACAGAATCTTCTCTTTTTAAAAGTTGAAAAGAAAAAACAAGGCCATTTTGCAGAGACTTCATAAAATTAAGTCAGCATTGCTTAAAGATCTTTGATCATGTAGACAGTTAGGCTCTAAGAGAAGTTACTGTGGTGTGAATTATCGCACAGGATGTATTAACAATTTCCAAAGACTGATTGAAAACTGTAACCAATGAAGTGGCAGGAGAGAAATTTGTATTCATCATGTTATTTTTGAGCTCATACTAGGTGGTTGCCTCTGATCAATGAAATTGGAGAGTAACTTCTGAATTTCTATAATATCATTGCTTTTCAGTCAAACACATTTCCTATTTAAAAGATGAGAATTGTATAACATACCCTGCCTCTTGCTGGTATACTTCATGACCAGTGGTGTAGCTTTGGTATACAATACTACACCTTCTACATCTATAACATATTTCACATACTCACAGAGCAAGTTATTTTTTGTTCTCTTTTAAAGATGTGCCAAGCAGACAGATACTCTGACCATTAGTATGTCAAGTTTTAACAAACATCTGAGGATAATCTACCATAGACCTTAAGAATATTTTCAAATAGAAAGAGAAAAAGAATAACTTACTTTTGTGATTGGCACCAATTTATCTTCCTGTTACCCAATTTGGTAAAGATTTCTGAAATGTCAACTGAAGACACTTTTTGCTTCTTTGCTGACCCTGATCTGAAAGCAATTCATTTCATGGTTAAAATTGACAGAATACTTGCATTTATGACTACATATTTGCACTAAATGCTCGACATATGCTATATATCTGTATTATTTGATGTATTTATTTGATATATGAGATAAGTAAAAAATCTGTATTACTTCAAGGATATGCTATTATATATATATATATATATATATATATATATATATATATATATATATATATACACACACACACAGAGGAATCGCTTGCTTAGTGTGGCTACTGTGAACATCAGTAGCTATAAAAAAAAATCAAGTTTCAATTATTATGATTAAACTGAAGAATGTTTATTTGCACTAATCAAGTATTATGTATGCACTAATCGAATTTTGATATATAAAAATTTTAACACACTAATTGAAAACATTAATCGAATGCGCATTAATTAAAGGATTATGTTATGCAAATCTATGTATCAAACTAGTAGTGGGTAATTGAATGACAAGGTGAAAAAATTTCTCAAGGATGTGTTTCATCTTTCAAATGGATTTCTTCAAACTAATAATAGTTTTATCGACAGAGTAAGTCTTGTATATAAGGAGGAAGGAAATATAGCAAGTAGTTTAACATAATTATTAGCTCAATTTTGATCGAGGAATCAGTGTTGGTTTAAGTGCCCTGACAAGGATGGAAATTATGTTGAAATATAAATATTTGTAGAAATGCTTTCTTTTTTCCTCTATTATTAGGCTATGAACGTAATGATTTGCCTACATTGGAAACAAAATCTTTTAAAAATAAATAAGATATTGTTAACACATTGACATTATCTAGTGCCAATGATGAGTTTATTAGCAGTGATACTTTTAGCGTGAAAACAATGTTAAGCTATAAAACAACTCATAAAATTATTTTATTGCCTAAGTTGGCTATTATGAAGCTGACATTAAAGTCAGATTTTGTAATTGACCTCTGGCAGTTAATGTGATAAAGAGTCTACAGCAAAAAAAAAAAAAAAAAAGATTTTCTTTTTAAATCCTACAGAATCTTTTGAAAATACTGAAACAGTCAACATAATGTCCTACCTTAAAGAAATAGGTTTATATCAAAATATAAGACCCACAATAGATCATGTACAAATTAAATATCTATAAAACACATGTTTAGCCTGAAAGTATAAAATTATGTACAACATATCTGTAGCTGAAGCCATAAAATTGCATACAAAATATTTTAGAGTTTAGCATTAGGGATTGATATGTCATGAAAAAAAAAAAAAAACAAAAAAAACAAACCAAAGCAAATCTACAAGATCTAAATTATATTTCTTACTCTTTCTTTTGTTTGGCAGCCAGACTGGACAATTTAGAAAAGGCAACAGAGATGAGACACGAATGGAATGGCCTCATTTCTTGAAATGAAGAATCCTTCAGCAGTTTTTCTGTTAAGAATGTCTCCAAATGGTCTTCACTGGAAAAAAAAAAAAAAAAAAAAACACTGTTGAAGTTAGTAACAGACTGAATTGATATGACAGACAGACTTAGTAATACTGTTAATGACTGAACAAATCTGATTTTATATACTTCTAAATCATGCAACCCACCTACTCCATCTTAGTTATGAGATATTTCATTGCTATGGTAACAAGAAGCATTAATTGACCCCAATAAGCAAATATTCCTCATGTTGCAATAACTTATTAAGAAAAAGAAACTGAGTTGCTAATACAGAAGGTTTATAAGTTACATCAGACCCGCTGTATGGAGTTTCATGGTTATGGCACCATATGAGGAAGATGGTGTTGTTTCTTTACTGACTGTACACCATTATAGGATTGTGCTACATTCACTATTTTTCGTTTGTGTCATTTTTTTTTTTTTTAACTTTTTATCCTTCATTATGGCTCCTAAGTGTAAGGCAGACTCACGAGTGCTTATATAGGTGAGTTCCGACCTACATTGAAAATGAGGTTACATCATGTCATAGGAAAGGATCTCCAATGTAAGTCAAGGACCCTTTGTATTTACTTTTTAATTCTTTTGTGCACCTTCTGTTGGATATTTTTGACTTATTGGGTTATATATGTTTTAGTTGATTGATTGATTTTTTTTTATGGCTTATCAGCCTTTTGCAGGTTATTTAAAGTCAGAAAATATTTTTAGATTGTAATTTTTTTTAGAAATAATAATGATTCACTTATACAAGTCCTACTAATTAACCCATGGCTGGGGAGAGAAGAGATGGTTTCCTCCTTTCACAAGGGTATTTACATGTAAGTGAATATAACAAACCAGACTGGAATTGGAACATGGCCCTCAGATTTCCAATCCCAAACTGTTTTCTATTACACCACCTGAACATCCAAGTTAACAGTACCTGGTATTTCCAAGTGGTCTGCAACATCCCATGCAAACAGGAGAACCCAGTCATAACTGTCAGACAATTTCTGCACCCACATCACCCCTTACATCTGACCACCTAACTCCCCAGACTGCAACTATCTTGATTATTATGTGTGGGGCGCAGTTGAGCGAGAGACCAAAAAAACTCCTGAAGGCAAGGATTATGGCAGCATTCATCAACTTAAACAAGGAGACCATCCAGAAGAGTTGCAGGAGATTCCAAAGTCATCTGGTGGTCACATCTGATGCCAATGGTGATTTTACTGAATAAATTTACTCTTTAGTATTTTAAGATATTTTTTGTGTAATTTTGGTAAATATATTTAAGATGATATGTTAGTATTTATTTTTGCATAATTTAGATGACAATTGATCCATTGCACATTGTATATTTACTAAAGATTCGGAGAGATTGTTAATATAAAGAAGAAAGAGGATATGATCAAGGTGAGAGCCTTGGAGGATGCCAGCATGTGCTTCAGAGGACTGGCCATTAACGATGACCTTCATATGAAAAAGCTGAACTGAGAAGACACTTCCACAAATTGCATAGCTGGAGAGTGTGTCACAATCCCCTTTGAGGTATCTAAAGTGATTGCTCATGAGATGTGCCTCAACCTAAATATTGATTAATCTAATTAATTGACATTCAGGCAATTCTTGGATTAACTCACCTTTGTTCAGTACTCTCACGGAATGTGTCTAGAACAATCTCTGCAATTGCATGCAGCTGATCTTGGTTAAAAAGTGGCATCAGTAGTGGCAGGTTAGCAGTGATTAGGAGCCAACTAGACTGTCTTCTGGTTTTTACACTCAAGCCATTATGCTGAAAGAAAGAGAAAAAAAATTGAGAACTCAATACTTTGATGAATAAATTTTTTTTGTTTCTCTCTTAACAAATATACAGAAAATTTTACATGTAGATGAATTCTTTTTCACATTTTGATATTTCAGTTTAAAATTTATTCTAGATTTAACTAAACAAGTTAAATAGAGTTCAAGACAAGCATTTATTTCTGATATCAGACTATGATACTATCAGAAACCAATCAGTATCTCAGTTTTAATTATAACAGGTTAAATTACTTCAATATAAAATATCTTTTCAATTAGTGCAACCAAAAAGGAAAAAGTATTTTTTCAAATTTTACATGAAGAAGAATGCTATTTTGTATTAGGTCTATGTAATATCCAATAGTGGTGCATGTAATATACACATACCCCAGATGTAATACAGGGTGTCCCTAAAGACTGAATTCACAGAAAATCTCATTAAAAAAAAATATAGTATATATATTTTTTTCCTCCATAAATTAAACATGGGTTTGTTGAAAGAAGAAGTGCCTTTTTTTTGGGGGGTATGTTAAAGGATAGGTACCTCCACGAGATCGCTAAAAAAAGAGCATAGCATGATGAAAAAGATACCAAACTTGACAAAAACATTTTATCGTCTAAATGTTTATGTTATTATTAAGAGGAAAGGTCAAAGTATTTTGGGGGTATTTTTTTTCCATTTTTTAATTGTTCCTACCACGTCCAAAATTTTTGTTAAAAATCTTGTTTTTTTTTTGAGTCAGCAAAATTGATCATTTTTTTTTTCCATTTCATAAAAAAAATGGAAATCTCACTTTGAAATTCTTTTAAATATCAATTATCATTTTTTTCAAAACTTATTTTAAGAAAATCAGAAATTATGTTTATTTAAAATATTTTGAACCAAGATTAACTTAGCTTCTGTGCTGAAAAGATGTAATTTGAAAATAAAACAAAGCAGGTCATAAACTTTCGCGTCACTTGACAGGTGATGAATGACATATTGATAGATTCTGTGATGCTAATTTGTTCTACGGAAGGAGAAAAGTGAAATAATTTACATTTAAGTGAACAAATTATTTACCTCGTTATTTTTAAGGAAAACTTTCAGGGCTCTAATTTTTTTTTTTTTTTGTACTTAGCTTTCACCTTTACGTTTATGATGTTTTATGGAAAATATATTATAAAGAAATTAAAATAAGACTGTTAGGAATGAGATTAAATTTCATAATTTATAAGAAAGGTGTCTAATTAATTCATAGGTACCTTTCTTATGAAATTTTATCAGAAGTGTACATAAAATACTATAATTTTATGTACATTTATTACATTTTACTGTGTTATTTGTATTTCCGTTCATTTTATTATTAATTTTGATATTTCATTTATGGAAAAATGTCATAACTGAGATTAATATAAAAATAAGATCATATAAATTTCATAAGATGATACTGATACTTGTAGGTACCCTTCTCAGTTGAAATTGAAAAATCAAATTAACTTCTCCACATGTGTTTTGCAAAAGTAAAAGCCTTAACAGCAGAGAACAATGCTTAACTTGAATAATGTAACTTAATTGTATTCTGGTTGGTCTTCCAGGGGTTAAAAAAATTAACACCAGGCTATGGAAATCTTTAGTAAAAGGCGAAAGATTTATCTGCAATTCCTGACCACAAGAAACCAAAAGTTTTTTTTTAAAAAAAAATAGCAGCGATAAGGAAAATTAAACCAAATTGACTTTGACATCTCTGGGTCAAAGGTCAGTCAGCCAGCCAGCAATAGAACAAGTTGTAATAAAACCCACCACTCCCAGATAAGAGCAAAGAGTGAAAAAAAAAAAAAAAAAGGGGTCAACATTAGTAGGTCTTGATATAATATATGTTTGAAAAATGGCTTGATGTGTTTTGTTTTGTTTTTAACACCCCGTGACCCGGGTGATGACAACAACACTTAGCAGACGACATTGTTTTTTTACCGCATATCTTTTGTATTTCCCACTGCTGGGCTCTTTTAGCCATTCCTTTTATTCAATGATGTCCGCGCCAAATAAAAGAGAAAGGGATGAAGTTTGAATGATATTATTTTGAAGTGAAAATAAATATTTTTTCATTAAAAAACGGTGATTTTTCACAGAAAATTGGGCATAATTTCTTAATGCTAACTGCCGAGTGACATTTTCCACAGCCAAATCGAAAATTAATTACCAGTGAATAATTCCATGTGCAAACGATAGCCGCCTGGATTGTATAACGTCGCCTGAAAAGGTCCAGAAGTTTACTGATTGATCGAAAACTTGTTGCGCATAATTGTGTTTTTCATGGTCAGTTTCCATTATTTCATTTTAAGGCTGTCATTTTTGGACAGCCAAGTCATCAAGGATTCAGGAAAACACTTTGGCATAGGTTTTCTTTAAGAACTTTACATTCTATGAGGTGTTTAAAATGTTACTGACGAATGAGATTTCTCGCTGAATATTTTGTTTATGCGACATGTTGGATTTTCCTATATGATAAAAAAAACTTTTTTAAAAAGCCGTGGAGTGTGTGTGTATATATTATATATATATATATATATATATATATATATATATATATATATAAACACCTATTTTATATCTGTGAGGAAACTCACTTTTATTTTAAGTTTTTCTTTGCAGTGAGTTTAGTATAATATTTTGGTGTTATCTATTAAAATTTATCTCTGAGTATCGACAAGTGACAGGTCACCCTACAAGAGAATGTGGTGCATGTGTAACCAATGTAAGAATTTAATGTTGTTTCATGATTATTATTATTGAAGATACAATCTTCTAAATCACATGAATTCATAAACATTATTTTTTTACATAGGGTGGATTTTTGATGTGCTGAATTATTGGTAATAATTAGATTAGATGTTCTGCATTTTTTATAGTAAATGATAAATCCAAGGTATTTGCTGTTATATATCAGTGAATTATAAAATAATTTAATGGTATCTTTAGTTTTGTTTATATCAAGATGATTGCTTGTGTTATTTTTTTTCTAAATTTCTTTAAAATATTATATAATGTTCACTGCAAAGAAAAACTCAAAATAAAAGTGAATGTTTCTATCTATCCATTTGAATGAAAAAAAAAAAACTATGAAAAATAGAAAATATATTTTTGTGGGAAACAAATTTGTATTTCTGGAATATGGAGTTATCATTATGCACATATTTACATTCAAACTGTTGTTCTTATCTTTATATTATTATTATTATTATATTTCTTCAGGTGTTTGTTGACCTGGGTAGCCTTCAGAGAATTTTGAATTGAACACTTTATTTAATCTGTCCATGTTTAGGGATATATCATCTTGTCCTAGACATGGAAAGTGAAACAGGAACAATCTACTCCTGTCAATTAAATAAAAGATTTCAGTTTGAAATTTACTGAAGTTTACCCAGATTGACAAGAACCTGAAGAATGCCAAAGGGCACAATGGCCAAAACATTGTGATAACAAAAATGAGGATAATAATTTGAATTGTCTAGTGAAATTGCTTTCAAAACATACAAATATTTTTTCTTCTTGGGACAGTAAAAAAAATAAGTGGAGAATCATTGTCTTATAGGTCAGTTTTTCCCAAAATGGGCCAAGCCAAATTTCAGGTGGCCAACAGATTTTATAATTTTTACTGGATCACCGGGCTAATATATGTGCCACAGCTTATAGGCTACAAAATGGAAGTAATTTTTTACACTATAATAATTTCATGGGCCACAGAAATATCCTGGGCTCAAAGTGGGCCATGAGCAAAAAAAGTTAGGAACCTCTGTTATAGTTAACACCCAAAAATGTTAATTTTTACTGTTAAGGATAAATCCATAACAGAAAATAGGTAGATCTTCCTGTTTCATATTTGAAACAATTTTTAATTTTTACATTGAAACTTTCCTCAGGATTTAATAAGTGTGTATACCAAATTAAAGGATTTAGCCCTGTATAACAAACAAATTCCTGCCAATATATAGATTACAATAAAAAAAAGAAAGTGACTTTACCAGAAACCAGTTTACTTAATGATGCCAGGCAGAATTAGGAGTATGTAACTAATTGAGAATATATGTCTAATACTTGTCAAGAATTAAATCTTGAATATTTAATGAATTTAAATCCACTTCCATTATGCTAGTGCAAAATACCCACCCCCTGCAAAAATCTTTGCAGCACTATCAGTTATTGCAGAAATCTTTTGCAGGGTTATATATTAGGTGAAAAAAAGCTGTAATAAATCTTTATAAAGTTAAATGTGGCATTGTGATAAACTTGAATATTAGACATTATGTACCTACAATTTTGAATTGTTTATTAGAAAGATATTTATTAAAATTTTAAATGATAATATATTAGTATATAATATATTTAGTGTAAATTAGTATATATATTTGGGAATAAACTACTGATTCATAGATGCCAATTTGATTCAAAGCCCAATGTTTGAGATTTTAAAAAACTTACAGTAAAGAACTGGGAAATTTTGAAAGTTTTATCTGTGACCTCCGATGACTCTGGATCAAGCAGGGGCTTCAGGATGTAATCAACATCACACACCTGAATGGCTTCTTTTTCAGACAAAGAACCTGGAAACAACTGAGCTGCCTTGATCCTTTGAAGTTGCAACAGATTCTAGAATGCAAATAAAAATGTTAAACCAAGAACATAAAAATAATATGGCTATAATAACTGAGACAATGCAGACAGTGAGTTGAATAAAAAAAATATTTATTCAATTTAGCTTTCTTGATAAAATAACTTGTTTGATGTCAAGCCACTTTTTCTATTATAGAATTTCTATTTATTTGGATACCTTGACAGATTTCTCAATAAAAAAAAATCTGTTTATCTTAATAGATAAGGGATCTTTTGAAAAAATATTCCCTTTGAAAGACTTTGATTAACTTGGGGAATTTTACCTTTGTATCAGACTATAATTCTTGTACTTCCTAATCAACAGGAGCAGAATATTAAATTAATTTTTAATATACAAGATTACAAATTAGAAAAAAGGTTTTGTAATAAAGTGTAGGGGTAAAACAAATTTGAAAAAACAAAAAACTTTTGCATAAAATAATGTTTATTTTGTAAATAAAAAAACAAATTTATTTCTATATAAAAATATGTAAAAAATAAAGGTATGATTCTTCACAAATATCATTATTTTATGAAAAAAATTATTAACTTTTCCTTTTCCACTTTCAATGATGATATGATTTTCTATTTAACTTTGGTAACAAACACACATACAAAAATTAGCTCGTTGTAGGTGAGTACAAAGACTACCCATTATTAAGTTGCAGACTAAATCAGAAATTGCTTAATTTTCTAATTCAGAATATTTTAATGGTATTGTGATAACAAAAACCTTGCTACAATGTGTTGTTTATACTGTGTAACAAACCTAAGCAGAAATCAGATCATTGTAACATAAATACTTCTGGACCAGTTTCCTAATCTTGTGACTTAAGTATCTGTCCCATTTTGTAAAATTTCTGGAAATTTAAAACAAAACACTAAGTTATGGTGTGGGAAGAGATTTACTGAATATTCTAATAAAAGGGGTGGCTGGAATAAGGATGTCTTCAGTGGATTTTTCAAAATAGCATCATTGCAAAGTAGTCATTAGTCATAGCAGTGTGCAGAGAACAAAATGAAGACAAAGCATGATTTTCAGTAGGTAAAGTAAAAGGACATTAACTAAGGTCCTTTGATGGTGAATATGTTAAAGATTTGAAAATAGAAGCAAGAGAGGTAAGTACATAGTTATATAAAAAGGAAATTAAAAAAATTAAGGTACTTACAGCAATGAATGTTCCTTTGTTGAGATGCTTCAAAATCTTCTTCCATGTTGAAGATGAGAAGCATCGAAAAGCAAGGGGTTCATTGAATTGTGGCTGGATATCTGAAGAGGCAAAATGTGCCAAAAGAAGAACCAATTCACCCCATGCATGGGTCAACAACAAGGTAGCCTCCAGAAGAACTTGATCAAAAGTTGTCTAGGGAGGAATATGAAGGTTAAAAAAAAAAAAAAAACACATTAAGAGCTTAAATAGACAAGAAATCTGTCATAGTTTAATAAAATGTGTTATATGGTTCTGAATAAAGATAATGAAAAGATCGTCAGTCCCATTAATAAAAGAATCTGTTGGAATATAAGTAAAGCATGCAAAAGTTTTCAGCACCTTTCTTTTGTTTTGTTTTTTGTAAATTAGAGACAATAGAAAATGATTTTAAAAAAATGCTGGAAATTATATTTCCCTTCACATACTATGATTTTTTTTTTGTTTATCAAAACATTATAAAACACTCTGAGAATTGTTTGCACATTTTTTTTTTTTTGTATTTTTAAATTGCTTTCAGGCTTTGGTCAGTCCATTCCAAATCCTTCACCAATATACAATCCATACAGGAAGTGATGAGTGGTGGGTCATTATTTTTCTTGAAGGTGGGGATAGAAGTGAACAGAAAAAAAATTATTGGATAAGACCAACACATTATTTTTCTGTTAATCATCATTTTCTCCATTTGGTCAATCTCAAAAAAATGACTGTTCATTTTCCTTACAGATTATATATTTAAGGCGGCCGTAAAATAGATTATTTGAAATGTTCTATAAAAAGAAAAAAAAGAATGAGATCAGGAATTCCAGGAACATGACTCATGGCAAAATTACAAAAAGGATGAGGAATCATATTCCCACACACACAAACCAGAATCTGCTGACTTAAATGGATCTTTTTTGATCAGGATAGATTATCTGCTTCTAAACTGATGGAGTACAACAAAGAACACTGTAATGTCTATGGTGTTGAGCATGCTGGTCTTATGAACAACTAGTTTAGTTACTGCTGACTGTTCAAGAAATGTTATATATATATATATATATATATATATATATATATATATATAACTACAACAAATGACTATAAATGTATTCGAGCACTTTCAGTCGTGCAGTGTTAAAATACTCGTCTCATAAACCATTGCGAGTAAGTTTATATATTTGCCAAGTTCTCCACAAATACAAATATTTCTCTATATGATAGAAAATTTGAAACAAGACTATTTTTCACATAGGCATTTAAAAAATGCCAATGATACCAAAGTAGAAACATAGATTCAATTTATTTATATTCAGACTAATGTCCTAATCTTTGTTGTTATCACAACATTTAGGCTGTTGTGCCCTCTGGCCTTCACCAGGTGCTTGTCAATTTGGATAACTTTCAAGGAAATTAGAATTGAATCATTTATTCCACTGTCCATATCTTGTGTATGTTTTTTTTTTTTTTTTTTTTTTTAGGTACTTTTAAAGTTATTGTTTCCCATTTTCTGGTGAGTCTAAGTTTATTCAGCGCAGGGATTGAATGCACAGTTACCATGTCTCCAAATTCACAAACCAATGCTTTAATTCAATAGACTATGATGGCACTGACACTGAATCCATCATAAAAATACAGGATGTGGAATTAGTAAATACTAAACACTTTCAGATACCTTGGTGTATGGCTCAGTTATCACAAATTAAGTATTGGATAAAAGGAAATTGAACATAGAATAGGCTGCACCAGAGGTAGTTTCACTCTACATAGCAAATTGCTACAAAACCAAAACATCAACCTGAAAATTTGAGTTATGTTCTTAAATAGCCTCATCAAATCAAAACTTTCATATGGATGTCATTCATGACACCAAACCTGTTCAGAAATATCTAAACTGTCAGCTATATACAACTGCTTCCTAAGATCAATGGTGAAAAAGGTTTTGAGCAAGTGAAAGCTGAGGGTCTTGAACATTGAAGACAGATTCACAAACAAAGAACTGCACCAAATAACTGAAACCACATCACTTGAGGACTACCAACAGCAGCAACAATGGATAGAACATCTAACTCAAAGAGAAAATAATGACATAATCAAGATTAAGGTTTGGAAGGAAACCCTTATCAATGCTGGAAAGAGCAATAACAGCTAATGGACTTGAGAAACCTGTTTTCCTGGAAAGTTGTTTTAAGAGAAATATTTTATAAATTTCAAACAAAAGTAGTACTGGCTGGTCAGTCAATGAATGCCAAATGTTTTGTTGTAGGGAAATGGCTAATATTACCTTTACCATTGTCTTGAAGCCTTAAACCTAATGCTCTCTTGCCTGCCTGCTGCTGCCACTGTCAGCTAACTTCATTCAATGTCACTTTTCTTTTGTTACTGCTGAAGCCTTACTGTCATTTCTCTTTATTTATTAAAGATTTCGATATAGTATTTATTTGTATGCTAGGAAGCCTCATAGCCTAGCATATGTACTGAACTCTTCCAATATATGATTCTGCAGTTTACTTTTACTTCATTCCACAGTGTTTTCCCTTCATGATTAGCCAGGTTTGATTTCATTCTCTCACAGACACCTGAAGAAGGCTGGAGGGCACAATGGCTGAAACATTGTGATACCAACAATAAAGATGAGAACATTAGTCTAAATATAAATAATAATAGCTATTTATCGCATGAATTCAGATTTTCTTCTATGTACCATATCCCTTCAAGACACTGGTGATCATGACTTTCTACAATTTCCTGTTCTTTGTAGTACAGCAAATTTTGAATTTTTTCTATCTCTCCTAAACCCTGTTCTGCCATCCATTTACATGAGCTCATTCATTAAGTTACTGTGTTTCCCACTACTCCTCTTGCCTTCAGTGTGCTGTGAGTGTCTTTCCTCATTATGTACCTGAGAAATTTCAGCTCTTTCTGATGTTAAGCACAAGTGTCCTTTTTGTTTTGATTTCTCTAAAACTTTGTTGTTACTCACATATATGGTATTTTCAGCACCCTTGTGTAGAACCACATTTCTGTTGCTTCAAGTCTCCTCTTCTACCTGTGAGGAGATTGTCCAGCATTTACTGCCATATAGAAGGACTGACTGACATTAAGTAATAGTTCAGTACTCTTTTCTTTGTTTCTAATGAAATTTTCCAGTTTCTTAATGCTTTGTTTAGCTTTTTAAAGGCATTTCTCAGTATCCCAATGCACCTTTTGATTTTGGTATCACAATGTCCCTCCTCTGTTAAAACACTTTCCAGAGATTTAAAGTTTTGTATTTTCTTGATTTTGGCATCTTCAATTTGTATTTGCATGCTGGGCTGTTCCTTTTGCTGACAACCATACATATTGTCTTCTTACAATTGATGGTAGTACTTTCTTTCCTTCACTACCTTCTGTAAGAGTTCTTAGAGTAGAAAGCTAAATATTAGGAAATGTTCTGACTTTCCTCTCTTAGTATAATGAACAAACTCTCAGTATCAAAGACAAATCATTTTATCATTCTTACCCAAATTTAACTTTGAATCCCCCAGCTATATATAAAAAAAAATCTGCTTTGATTTCTGTTAAATCTGTTGGTATTCTTTCCTTGAAAATCAAAAAATCTGCTAATAAAATGGCCAGTGTCACCTTCACTTCCATCAGTAATTATTAAAGTTTGAAGACCATGTTGAATCTTTTAGAATTTTATTGTTTATGATTGAAACAGAGTTGTGTCTTTCATTTTTTTTTTCTTGTTCTATTCAATTTCTGATGTAAAATGATTTAGTTTTAAGTGCAGGTCAAAACCAGACTTTAACATGTTAATTTTCAAGACAAGTAGGCCCTTCCAAATTTGAAAAACTGATCAGTAACAATCTTGCTGCCCATGAATATGAAATGTGATAAAATCCGAAAATAACTAGGTATGGTCTCTTGATACTAAGAAAAGAAATTTCACATAATATCCTTACCTTATCAATGCAATAAGTGATTGAATTGGACAATATTGTCTCTTTCATTTGAATCATTAACTCCTGCATTTTCTGAATAGTCTGAGCAGTCACTGTGGCACCAACAACAACACAATGGTGAAGAAAATAGACCAGAAGATTCATTGTCTTTGCACACTTAATGCTTGCATCTTTATCTGACAAAGAACAAAGAAGGAAATGTTATAGTCTATAAAAATATTAACTTTAGCATACCAATGTAAATGAAAATTGAGACACAACATGGGATGATTTGTTTGGTTATTGGGAGACAGAGTGAGTATGTTGTATTTTTACAGTGGGGCTTGCGTAAGATTTAGATTTGAGGTTCAGCTGCGGTGGGAGGTGGCATATTTGCTGGTTTAAGAACGGGTGGTTTGTAAATGAGTTAAGGATTTTACTCTTTTAAATTGTACTTAAAATTTCTTGTATAATTTTATTTTTTTTAAGTACTGTATCACATTGCTGGGGTTAGTGTTGTTGAATAGGTCTTTTAAATTATTTGTCCAATAATAATGATGTGATTAGATCAAACCAAAAATATTACAACTGCAATATGTTTTACAGTGTAAGGCTCTTGCATGTCAGAGGTGGTGAGGCACAGGCTCTTCATTTTAAGGAAGAATGAATGGTTAATATAGGTAAGATTTACTATTTACTCCTGTCTTAAAGTCTCATCAGTTTGATAAGGTCAAATAGATTGCTGATCTCAAAAATGACCTACAATGTGTTGTTAACTGGATCAAGAAATGGCTTGTTAATTTTAATGTCTCCAAAATATGAGTCTTTTTTCCTTCCATCAGCATAATTGATGCTGACCTCCATGAGAGTAACTCATTGCACCTTCTCAGGCTAACATTTTCCACTGACATATATTTGAATGATTATATTGAATCAATTGCTAAGTCTGCTGTTAGAAAAATTGGTTAACTGTGTCATGCAAGCCAGAATTTATCTTATACCTTTATAAGCCTAACCCTTCATCCATGCATTGAATACTGCTGCCACATCTGGTTGGCTGCTTCTGCTATATGTATTTAGAAATTCTTGATAAAATCCAAAGAAGTAACTGCAATGTGACTGAACCTGACCTGGCATCTCGGATAAGTCATTCCCTGTGCCTTTTCTATAAATATATTCATGGTAATTGTTTTGATGAGCTTTACTCTTTGGTACCTCAACTTTACAAATTTAAGTGCAGTGCTAGATTGGCAGCTGGGTCTCATCATTTTACATTTGAAATGGCTAGATGTAACCATAAGTTCTATGTTAACAGTTTCTTCTCTTGCACTTCTCACTTGTGGAACTCTCTTCTGGCCTCTTGCTTTTCAGTCAACTTTGATCTTGAAAAATTTAAATACAATGTCAATCATTATAGTGAGGAGGCTCACTGGATTCAAAGTGTGAACTCTGCATTGGTGTTGTGCAGAAAACTCCCAGAAAAGTTTTTAAGTCCCTGAATAAGCAGTAGTCAACAAAGAAAGGGGTTACAAGCAGAGCTGTAGACAATGCAACTATTGTCCAGTTTTAATCTCACAAGAGATCTGTAGAGACACAGTAATATTGACTGACTTACACCTGTTACATTCTAATGATTTTTTATACTAATGTTCACACAATACAAATCTCAAGGACCACTTGAGGTAGAAGGTTACTGAATGTAATTATATGAATGGAATACATATGAAATGTGGTTGACTTGACTCCATGGACATAGCATGGTGAGTCCTAGCTGTAAAGGTTTGAACTAGTCAAACTAACAGTGGAGCTCATCTGAACATTTACCATGGTAATAGCGATAGATTAGTAATAGGCTTGCAACATTGTGTCTGTGGGGAAAGAGGCTGCAGATCAGGTGGAGATTCAGTTTCAAGTCTACTGACAGAATTAGCATGATGTCATTGTACAAATGTCTGGGAATCCCTCTTCTGAATTTGTTGTTAACCATTCAAAAGACTATAAGGGTTTAGACATGTAAAAATGAAACAATTCATGGTTGAAAGAGTGTACTGAGCTGAGCATGGAGTGAAATTTTGGCAAAGGAAGCCTGAGAAGATGTCAATAATGGCCTCAAGAAATTGAAAGACAGTGCCTGGTGAAATGCAGAGAAGGAGGCTTGTAAAATGTCGAACCCTTGTATCAAGGATAGATTGTTTTTTTTTCTTTGTTTAGTGGCATATCAACTCCTTATGGGTCATTTAATGCCAAAGTTTAATTTTCTTGGGAGCATTAATAATTTCTTTTACAAAAATGTATTGTTGGTATTTTTTTTTAAATGCATTGCTGGTAATTTTTTCTTTCCTTACAAAAATGTATTGCTGGCATTTTTAAAATTTTTTACAGAAATGTAGTGCTGGTAATTTTTTTTTTTTTTTTTTATAATGAAAATTTTTCATACTTTCATATTGTTTTGACCCCAGTTTGGGGGTTAACTATTTGCCTATATCTGAGACCCAAACAGGTGCTACCACCCGGGGTTAGGGTGGACCTGGGAACAACAGCAGTTAAGAGGTGGTTCCATGCTCCCCCAAACAGCCCAATCAGAGGCATTGCTGCCGAATGTAATTTATCATCATACCCAGGACGGAACAAGAAAAGAAGGCAATAAACCAGATTGTGAGTGAATGAGTGTGACTTTCAATTTTGGGGGTCCTGAAACTCACCAAACACATGTATAAAAACAGTTTACAATGTGCATCCCATAAGCACCGTTGTTATTGGAGCACCAGAGGATGAAGTTAACTAGAGAAATAAATTAGAAACATAATACATTTGGCATGAAATGGTCACTCAGGTTTATCTTTTATTAATTTAGTTTAAACATATTCAAAGCAGAAACCACAAAATAGATTACTCCTTGAAATAAGGCCAAGCCACATAAATTCCAATCAAAATATCTACTATATAAATAAAACTACACATCTGTTAACTTTTTATGAATTACCACAAAATTAAATAAGGTACATTGATGTAGACATGGAATACAAAATGTTTCATTCCTTATAAGAGGTAAATAGGTACCTTCATGAGATCACTAAAAAGAGTATAGCATGACGAAAAAGACGCCAAACTTGATGAAAACAAAACTTTATCATCTAAATGTTTGTTATTATTAAGAAGAAAGATCAAAGTATTTTGGAGGTATTTTTTTACATTTTTTAATTTTGTTAAAAATTGTTTTTTAGTCAGCAAAATTGACAGATAATCAATCAGCTCTGCCATTTTATAAAAAAAATGAAAATCTCAATTTGAAATTCTTTTAAAAATCAATCATAATTTTTTTCAAAACTTATTTTAAGAAAATCAGAAATTATAATGTTTATTTAAAATATTTTGAAACAAGCTTAACTTAGTTTCTGTGCCAAAAAGGTGTAGTTTGAAAATAAAACAAAGCAGGTCATAACATTTTGCGTCACTTGACAGGTGACAAAAGACATTTTTTGATGTTTTGCTAGCTTACGTGAGGATAATTCCTTCTACGGAAGGAGAAAAGTGAAGTTATTTAGATTTAAGTGAACAAATTATCTCTACCTCGTTAGTTTTAAGGAAAACTTTCAGCACTCTAAATTATTTTTTTTTTCTACTTAGCTTTCACCTTTATGTTTACGATGCTTTATGGAAAATATATTATAAAGAAATTAAAATAAGACCGTTGAGAGTGAGATTAAATTTCATAAGAAAGGTATCTAATTAATTTATAGGCACCTTTCTTATTAAATTTTATCAGAAGTGTACATAAAATTCAAATTTAAATTTCATAAGATGATACTGATACTTGTATGTACCCTTCTCAGTTAAAATTGAAAAACCAAATTAACTTCTCCACACACGTTTCGCAAAAATAAATCTATCTCAAAAGGACATTTACAAAACTGAATGCGGTTATTAACTAATTTTATAATATTTTAACAACTTAAATGTAAAAATCTATTATAATTAAAGAAATAACAAATAATTGTATTAAAAACTCAATCCACGTGACATTTTTTATTGCATGCATGATACTTCTGGTCTTCCATAGATTTGATTTACAGTGTTATTATTGACACAAATTATATTTTTTTTAAATACTGGTGTTAGTTTGTAAGAAGCTTTGGAAATTATAATCTGTAAATATATATCTACTTAATAACAACATTCGTAAAATTTTACAAATTTTTCCCTAATTTTAAGAATTAACAACATAATGTAAAAATAATAAAATATTTCAGAAATAAAAAATAATTGTTTTAAAAATTCATTTTTCATCAAAATATCTTTTTGCTTTCAGACAATATTGTCCATGTTCTTTAAAATAAATAATATTAAATAATATTTTTGTTTTATTGAGTTTTGTATGTTACAATTCAGAGATGATTTTCAGATAGAGGTGGTCCAAATAAAAAAAAAAAGCATGATTTGGTTTCCTCAAAGCCTTGTGCTTTTAACTAATATAATCACTAATCTTCACAAAATTGAAATTATAGTTTTCGTACAATTAGTATATGAAAAAAAAAATTTTTTGCCATAACTTTAAAAAAGGAAAACATATATTTATAATAAGTTCCATCATTTGTGAATAGTTTCTGAAAGTTTCATTAAAATCCAATAATTATTTCTATTTTTGAAAGATTTTCAAAATTAATGCCTGTCATACAGAAAAAAATGTGCTAAAATTTTATGTTATTTTACTAGTTCTGGTGATACAAAGAGAAACAAGGTCTTTTTTTTAATCAAAATTTAAAATGTTCTAAAAAGAAGGAAAAATTTTTTTAAATAATTAAAAAATACTTTGATCTTTCCTCTTAATAATAACAAACATTTAGACACTAAAATTTTGTTTTTGTCAAGTTTGGTATCTTTTTCATCATGCTATGCTCTGTTTTTAGTGATCTCATGAAGTTACCTAGGTAAATATATATTCTCAGCCTTAGTCCATACATAAGTACATCAATAACTCTGTAGCCTAATGATGGAAAAAAAAAAAGAAGTATTTTATACAAATGTTTTCAACATAATACTCAATTCAGTGAATATTAATCATATAGATTGAGCATTATACACTAAAAATTTCAGATCAAAATTCAGCTAATAAATGTGTCAGAAATCTTACATTTTTCCCCAAGCTTACCTTGAGAAGTTATAACCTCAGTCAATTTATCCTTGATTACTGTCACTAATTTTTCCCAGATGGTAATTTCAACAGTCTGTGGCAATAATTGGATAATACTCTGGAACCTTCAGGAATAAAATTTAAAAAAAAAAAAAGAATAAAGATATTGGAAATAAAAGAGACTAATGGGCTAGTATTTGCTTTATAAAATTTATACCAAAAAAGCCGGATTTTGCTCAGGTTCTTGCAATCAACAAAATTACATTACAATTAATAAGTGACTAAAATGAAAATAATATATTTGTAAATAAAAATAATACATTTAAAGTATAGAAGATATAATTTATTATAATTGTGGATGATGTTATCAGCCAGTTATTATCATCAAAACAAGTCAGTCCCAAACTGAAACTGAAATTTATTAAAATCTTTCTGCTCATTATAATCAAAGTACCAAATATGTTGTTGTTTTTACAATTATTAATAACAAGGAATGTAAACTGTTTTAATTTTTATTTCCTTTGCTTAATGTAATCAGTTATTTATTGTTATCTAAAAGACACAACCCCAAAGAGAGCACAGAAAGCAACATTCTCTGTATCAAAAATTCTATACTTGATCATTAAAACAATAAAAATGAATGAGATAAAAAAAAAAGAATATCTTTGTCAAACATATTTCCAATACTGTCTCTTTGAATGACTGCACCAAATTTTACTGCCTTGATCCTTTTCATTTACCAAA